CCTAGCGATGAAACCCCAGACCCGCGTCATTTCGACAGGAGGGCAGCAAAACACGTTGGGCGCCACGTGGGAAAGTTGCCTTGCTGCGTGCCCAACCCGGCGGAACAACACGGAGCCAGGATTTCGGAAAACGTGAAGCTACATTTATTAGTAAATTGTAAACATGAAGTTAGTATTAACAAGGTCGTTGGTCGACACCGCCGCAGCGTGTACCTTTCGCTCCAGGCCCCGCTTCTCTCTCTTCCGTTGGCGTCCCCGCTGTTGCTCTTATACGTTCTTTCACGGGGGGTAACGCCCCCCGCGCTTTCTACACAGTGGCGCCCCCTATAGCGTCCACAAGGTAGAACAAGTCAGCGCCCAGAAAGTCCCAAGGTAGACTTAAAAGCTGCGTGCTTCGAAGTGGCTCTGCTGGATTGTCTCGGTACGACGTGCACTGTTCACATTGTGCCACGAGTGCTGCTATATCAGCGTTGATACTTGGCCACCATACTGATTCCCGGGCCCGAGCCTTGCATTGGTTAATGCCTTGGTGACCTTCATGAATCAAAGTCAGTGCTGTCGTACAATACACTGTTGGTACCACGATGCGAGTGCCTTTCGGAAGTAAACCATCACAAACCGAAAGTTCGTCCAACAGGCTTGCATACTTCGTCAGGTGAAATGGTAACTTCGACTTCGGAGGGAACCCTTTGTGGCACATCGACGTGAGTGTGCGGCACTCCCCTTCGTTTGCTTGAACAGTTTGAAGGTCCTCCAGCTGTAGGGATGCTGCTTCTGATGAGCTCTGAAGGACTTCTGCAGCAAACACTTCGATTGTGTCAAGAGGACGAGATAAATCGGCAGGTTTTGTGGGGACGCGAGACAGGGTGTCTGCTGTTTCGAGAAGCTTCCCAGGGGCGTACGAAATCGTGAACTGGTACCGCATCACCTTCAGTCGAAGGCGCTGGATACGTAAAGGTACCACGTCCAAGTCCATCTTGCCAAACAGTGAGACCAGTGGCAGGTGATCTGTCTCTGCGTTGAAGACCAACCCATGGAGAAACTCGTCGAACCGTTGAATAGCCCATACAGCTGCCAAGGCTTCCTTCTCCGTTTGGCTATATCGTAGTTCAGTCGCTGTAAGGAACCGCGACGCGAAAACAACCAGTCTTCTTTCACCGGAAGGCTGAGTTTGGAGAAGGACTGCCCCCAAGCCGAATGAACTGGCATCCGCTGAGACGACTGTTGGGTATGCCGGTTGATACTTTGGCGTACAGCAATCCGAGACGAGCATCAACTTTAGCTTGGTGAATGCTGTTTCTTGTTCGTGGGACCAGTTCCACGCAGCATTCTTGCCGAGGAGCGCTGTGATAGGAGCTGCAACGTCCGATCCGTGCGGAAAAAAACGTTTGAGGTGGTTCACCATGCCAAGGAGGCGTCTTACACCTGCTAAGTCAGTTGGTACGCTCATCTCCTTGATTCCTTGGAGCTTGCTTGGGTCAGGACGGATGGCCCTTGCAGATACCATCACTCCCAGGAAGGAAACCTCATTCTGGCGGAAGCAGCACTTCGTCTCATTCAAGGTGATGCCTACCCGGAATAGTCGCATCAGGACTTGCTGCAGGCGGGAGTCGTGTTCTTCGAGAGTGCGTCCGAAGATGAGTATGTCGTCTATCATGCACACAGTGCCTTCCAGGCCTTCCAAAATCCTGGACATCTGCTTCTGGAAAAATTTCGGCGCAGAGGTGATGCCGAAGGGCATCCGACGGAAGCAGTAGTGTCCGAAAGGTGTGATAAATGTGGTGAGTTCTTGCAATTCTTCCGCCAACTTCACCTGTTAGAAGCCTGATTTAGCGTCCATCTTGGAGAACGCCGCTGCATTTCCCAGCAGGCCCAGGACCTGGTCGACTGTGGGAAGGACGTGGCGTTCTTGCAGGACCACCCGGTTTAACTTCGTATGGTCCATGCACAGCCTGTGGCCCCCAGTGGCTTTGGGGATGGCCACCAGTCCGGCACACCATGGTGTTGGCGTGTGAACTCGGGGAATGACACCTTCTTGTTCCATCTTCTGCAGTTCCTTGCGGACGGCTTCACGCAACGGGATGGGGATGCGCCTTGTCATGCTAAGAAAAAATGGAGTAGCGTCTGACTGGAGGCAGATCTTGTATTCTTCAGAGAGAGATCCGAGGTCATTAAACAGTTTGTCGCGAGTCTGAGAAGAGACTTTGACGTTAGGAAGGTCCTTTTTTTTCGATGAGACCCCGTCGACGAATTTGACGACTTTAAGTGCCTGAATGGCTGGAAAGCGCAAAAGAGGCACGGAGAGGGATTTTAGCACGTACAGTCTTTGCTGGGTTGACTTGCCTCTCCACAGCAAAGTGGCCATGAAGGACCCGAGAATGTGGAGTGGCTGCTGCCCTGGCCCGAAAAGAGTGTTTTCAATCTCGTCGAGGGACGGCGGCAGGTTAGGGGAGGTGTTCGAGACGGCTGAAACTTCGGCTTCCGAGTCAACCTTGAACACTTCCATGTAGTCGTTGACAGTGACTTGCACGAACTTGCCTCGGTCCGAGTTGCGAACGGTGTACAATCCTAGCTCTGCCACCTGGGTCGACCGTTTCTTCCAGGAACGGCAGACGTCCGCGAAATGGCCTTTTTTCTTGCAGTGGTTGCACAACGAGTTGTGGGCGGGGCATTCTGAGCGAGTGTGTGAAGTGCGGCTGAGTAACCGCACAAGCTAGAGCTTGAGGTGCGCTTGTCGTGTGCTGAGCTGTGCTTGACGCGTCGCGCTTGTGACTGCCGAGACTTGGCAGCGTCGAGGCTCACCAGTCGAGACTGCATGTCGTGGCCTGCGAGCTGGCCTCTCTGCTTTTGGGCGTCTTCTGCTTGTCTCGCCTGCACCGATGCTTCTTTGAGGGTCAACTTGGGGTTGCGGCAGAGCCGGTCGGCATGGCGAGCATTGCGTAAGCCTACGATGAAGTGGTCGCGGACAAGGCGTTCCACGACCTTGGGTGACAGGTAGTTGCATCTTTTGCAAAGCTTGCAGAGTTTCACATAGTAGCTGTACACCGTCTCCCCCGGCTGCTGGACGCACCGGTGAAACTGTGCCGACTCGTACACCTCGTTGAGGGGGTGGACGAAATGGGCCGTAAACTTCTCTACAACCACCTTGTAGTTGTTAGGAGCGTCACCGAGGCCGAACGTCGCAAGAAGAGGACAAGCTTCCGGCCCCATGCAATAAAGAGGTGTGCGGACCTCAACTTCTCCCGATGCCTGTCGAAGACCGGAAGCAAAGGCGCAGTCCTCGAAAAGGCTTAGCCACGTCGGCCAGGAACCGGCGTTCTCGCTCTGGTGGTCTGGCTGTTGCAGAGAAAGGCCCTGCCATGAAGGCTTGGCCCCGTCTCCTTCGTCGTTAGGCATGACAGCGAGCAGGGCGGCAGTGAGCAGGAACACGACGGTCGAATGCCGTGCGACGGGCGAGCGAATTAAGCAGTTATGGTTGAGACGATTTATTCAAAGGCAATGCCTACTTTGTTAGGCATAACGGCGAGGAGCTTCGCAGACGATGCAGTTGAGGCCGCGGGCTGTGCGGGCAAGTAGCAGACGGCGGGCGAGCTACGCATTAGTGCTAGTCGCAGCAGAGAACGCGAACGTAGGCAGCGTAGGTCGTTCCTGACACCATGTGGAGACCATGCAGAGACCTTTGTGCCCAGAATCAGAAGTAACTTCATTCTCTAGAAAATAGCGTACCAAGCCCCCCAGCAGTGGCACAGGGTTGCCTGCGGCAATCATGCACACGAGGGTTGCACCCCCTACACCACGAAAATCCGCTGAGAACTCGCATTTCAATACCTGTCCAAACAGGACACTTCAGAAATCGGGAGGCGACACAACTCTGACATAAGTCATAGGGCGGTTTGCGTCTGTCCGAATTTTTTTTTTTTTTTTGCCAGGGCTAAAGTTTTTTTTACAATGTTCACTGGTGTACTTCACGGGGTCCTTGACCATGCTCCTCACATGGGTCCAGACAGCCACTCACATGCACTGTTGGCTGCCTGTCAATCGCTCAAGCACTCTGCTGCTCTTCAGGTCCTGAAAATGGGAAAGGGAAGGTCTGTGTTCGAAATCTTACCCAAATAGATCCGAGTTACTCTGGTGGGTCATGTCCAGAGATCGGCATTTTAAGTCGCCCTCACTCGCCCTCACCCTCATAGCCCACACTCACCTAAGCCTCTCGCTCACCCTCACAGCTACACTCCCCCTCACTTACCCTCATTTTCACAGTCGCATTTGCCTTCAACCATTCACTCACCCTCACTGAGCCTCCCGGCCTCACGCCCCTCATGCACTCACCGTCTGCAAAGAATGGCGATCTTGATGGTGTGCAACGCAGGTTGTGGAAGTACTTGAAGCTTTAACAAATACAACATAGTAAACGCTCTAGCGTTCTCCACCAAGTCACATTCAGGACTAAGTAACTCCACGAGCGAGCCATACTGCTGCGAACTGGCGCTGCTTCTTAGAGGCAGATGACAAGGTGGCATTCCAATGGAGCTTCACTGACCGCCGTCGGTTGCAATGTTGAAATCTATTAATTTCCTTTAAAATGAGTTTTCTTGACTTTTCTGCCAGTAGCCCAGAAACACTAGTCTAACCTAGTGTTTACAGGCTGCCACCACATCATAGACCACATCTAAATAAAGAATAAGAGAAAACAATTATTTAACATTATTGTGTGGAACATTACTTGCCTGCATATGTGCACACATATGCAGGCAAGTAATGTTCCACCTCAGTTTCATAGTTCAGATCTTTATATTTTATCACCATACTTCTCAATCCCTATTAGCCAACATTTAAAACTTTTTTTAAAAGATCACATTTTTGTTTTTGTTTTTGTGCAGATATATAAAATTAATGACTCTTGAGCCTTTCCAAGCATGATTATTCACAACTTGCAACAGAAACGGAAGCTTCTCAATAGAAGGGCCTTTTATCATCAAAAAATTGCAAAAGGGAGGACGTCACGTCTTTGTGACTCCCACAGAAACTGTCTCTGAACGATTCCTGATGTCTTCCAGGCTGTGGTCGATCAGTAAATGCCCGTTTTCAAACACAAGCAACATATGGTCCTGGAAGAAAGAAAAGTGACGTGAACATTAATTAGATGCATCAATCTTTTACATCAACATAACCATGCTGTCACTTAGAACTAGTATAGAATATACTACATTCAAGGGCATGCCTTTATATAATTCAGGAAATAACGTGAGGACACAGGCAAAATATTCACACAAAGCAAATATATGTTTTGTTTTTCGTCCTTAAAGGGGTACTCTAGTAATTTGTTTATGGTCACTGATTTGCCTCAAAATTGGCTCAACACTGATAAGCATGGCTGCACCCGCTCCCCCAAATATTCTATGAAAAAAAAAAAAAAAGAAAACAGTCGTGAAGTTATTACATTTTTTACTTTCGTTATCATCGTGGTATGCACTGCCCAAGGGGCATTACATGGTGGGTGTTGCTGTAAAATTCAGTCAAGCGTGAGATCCAACACAAAACAACAATACCATGCAAAAACTCAAAAACACTATGAACCCTCTAGTGAACTACCATCAAAATGGTGTGAAGTGTGCAGTAAACCATGTTCAAAACTGAATACAATATAGGAAAATAATGCTTGGAAACTCATTCAATGAGAAGCAGGAAAAAATGCTCGGCATACTCTGTTAAAGATTACCTGTGCGACCTGAAAGTCTACCATATGTGACGTCACTCCACTGGAGACCACATGGAAATTTGAATGTGGTTTCGGCATCATTTCATTTACGGTTTCTTCAATAGCTATTTTTAATTTTGAGACAATAAATAGCATACCGTGAAGACAAAAGTCCGGGTAATCAGAAATTGCAATTTTTTGGGGGTAGCTCAGAAAACGGCTACTCCGGTCAATGTTTTTGGATTTGGGATTACATCCGTTTTCAGCTCGGTCAGTGTCCCTAAATTACAAGGATTTTTTTTCCTCGATATTGTGTGTAATACAAATATCACGGCTCAAAGTTTGGTTTTGGGCATCTATGGCGAAACCGAAACAATCTGCTGGTGTCAGGCGTACATCCGCGACGTGACGTCACGGAGGTGCTGCAACGCATGGTACACGCACAAGTCCGTCTTCAGAGCGCTGCCATCTTGCTTGGTTGGGGTGCTCTTGGACGGATCATGATCCGATTACGAAGTCTTGCTAAAGCGTCGTAATTGGCTTATGGCCGCACGCAAGCGCACCCCTGTGAGCGAGATGGCGGCGCCACAAAGATGCTGGATAGATGGATGGATGCCAGAGCCGTATATGTAGAGAGTTTGGCCATTTGTTGGGAAGTATAGGAGACAAATGAAGCGGCGCCATTGGCCGAAAGCGGGCTGGGCGTGTTCCAGGGCGTCTTCAGAAATTCGAATGTGACCAACCAGAAGCCGGAAATAATAACCTGGTGGTGGTCGCAAGAAACAAACCTGATAACTGCATTGGAGTAACTCTCGATGGCTGAAAATATGGTTCACGTGATGTTTCAATCACACTCATCTAAAATGATGGTGGAAGAGTGCGACTAGCAGAAAGATCGACGTAATCCTTACGCCAAACGCCGAGCGCCGGGAATCCGCCGTCAGAGCGGTCACACTCTGTCCGCGCAAAACAGAGTTGAGCGGCGCATTCGTTTCTTACATCTTTCTGCATGATCATGATGAAACAACACGTGCACCCTATTTTCAACCACAAAGAGTTACTACACTTCACTCTTACGCACTTATTAAAACCATATACGAACAGAGACCTTCGATGATCGATCGGCTCAGAACTGTTTCTCGCTACCACCGCTAGGGGATTCTTTTCGGCTTCTGGTTGGTCAAGAGAGCATGCCAAGCCCTCTTTCCGAGTCTGCCGCACGCCCTGGCTCTCCCAGCGCCTCCCATTGACCGAACTCTCTACATATACGGCTCTGATGGATGCTAACGTCTGTACCATTTATAACGGGCGGCAGCTTGCGCCACCTAGCCTAGAATGTAAAAACCAAAAGTATGATACCTCCCTTTGCCCTTCTAAGCCAACTTGCTCCCCTGTGCAATTTTCGTAACTATCACTAGAGCACTATATAGCTCCTTCGGAGCAGAGTAGCGTAGAGTTCCTGTATAGCTACCTACGGTAGCAGAGTTGCGCATTCAGCCTTCGCGCGTGGCCGTAGCGCCGGCTTTCCCGCACGAGCTGGATGCTTTGCTCCTCACGTGACTAAACTTGGCGAATAGCGGCGCCGCGCGCGCCGCCGCGCATGGAAAACAGGAGAGGAGGAAAAGGAGGCGGAAAGCAGGGAAACATACGCCGGGGCAAGAGAAACGTCGGCGGAGCGACCGTAAAGGTGGCTTTCTTGCACGCCACCGGATGCTTTGCTCCTCACGTGATGGATCTCGGCGAATAGCGGCGTGGCGGCGCGGGGAAAACGAATGCGCAACTCTGGCTCCCGTAGGGAGCCTATACAGGAACTCTAGAGTAGCGCAATCTAGAACGCCGCCTCTCGGCGACTAGCGGCGAACGCCCGGAGGTTCAACTGCGGTCAGAAATGCATGGAGAACGTGAGAAAATCGTTGTTTCTTCAGTATTGTGGGAATGTACGGAATTGCAATCATTTTTGACATAATAATGGAACACTTTAGAATAATTTCCGCTAAGTTTTGTGCCCCGCAAGGACCTGACTTTCTTTTTTTAAAAATTGCCTGAGCGGCATCATGCAGCAGACGACACGGCGACGTCACACCATTCACGTGACCCGCTCCGGCCAACCCGAAAAGCCCATCTCCGCTGCGAGCAAAATACGTCTGCTTCAAACGCCATTGCCTTGGAAATTGCCTTCTCAAAATTTGCACACACATCCGATATTGTTAAAACTTTGATAAAGTGTTTAGTGCTTCACTAACTGCACGACAGACTAGTTTTGAAAAGTGTGAACTCGCCGTTCATTTTTTAATCAGCCGTGTTGTGTCGATCTCCATGTATTCTCCCATAGGGCGGGCCGCCTCCTGGAACCCTGAGTACCACGTGACTCGCGCCGAGCCGCTCTGTCGGCCATGTTGTCGGCAAAACACGGGGTTCGAAGGATTGCGTTACTCTGCTCCGTAGGAGCTATATAGTGCTCTAACTATCACCAGGGTGATCTTGGGGGGGGATCGGGCAAAAAAACTCAAAACATCAGGCCCCCCCCACCCTTTCCTCTCGGCGAGGGAGTCGCAAATTTTCCTCTGGTCAAAGCTCGTCGGCGTTACCCCAACACTGGGCCCACTGGAAAACAGGGTGGAGACTTTGGGCCGGAGCCACGCGGCAGGAAGTCCCAATTTTATTTTCCTCCACTTATCCATTCTTCCATTCGCGTCTGCAAACCCCAGCGCTCCGGCTAAATCCGTCACCCCCTCAGGGAGGGCGGGAGCAAGCCCTGAGCACCTAAACACCTCATGGTTTATTGTTATTATTAAAATGCAACCCCAGCACCATGACTCCTTTCCATATCCCCTAAGAACTTCATAGCTAATGTAACTGCATAGTGTCCTATGCTTCATAACCGCTGCATTCATTTTCCCTTTCGTTAGCATATTTTATTCCTGTTCTTCAAAGTATTGTTTTCCCTCATTCAGCCATACTCTTAAGTATTTATACCTCTTTACGTGTACTACAGGGCGTCTCAAATAGCGGCCAGGCTCTTTAAATCGACTGCAAAAATTGCAAAAAGAAAAAGGCCTAACTCCCGTGTAAATGCAGCGAAGCCACCGGTCTTCAAACAATAGTGCACCTTATTGTTTGAAGGTGGGTGGCTTCGCTGCGTTTCCATGGGTACCTATGCCTTTTTCTTTTTTTACTTTTTCCTCAGGTAAGTTCCCTCTTCGCAAATTTTATAGAAACAATGCACCACCTGTGGGCAACACTGCACAAAATCGTAGCGCGATAGGTTAAGAAACCGATGAGAAATAAAGTTCTTTTGTTCAACTGAATTAATTGCCATAAGTAAACAAATAAAAAAAAACGCGGTGGCCCTCACCCCTCCCTTTTCCCTCTCTTTCGTTGCCACTAGACACTGGGTCAAACTCGTTTCTGGACCGCAAGTGCCGCAATTTAGAAATACAGTCGGCAAGGGTAAAGTACGCTGCTCCAGAGGCACATACGGCTTCACGCATATTGCACACGCAAAACACATCCACACGGCGTCGATTCTTGATCAGTATTCAAGCGTGCGGAGGCACGCTTGGATACTGATATATACACAGCACTTCGGCGTGCCAAATAAGCTTTGATCACGCCTCAAGACCGGCGAAACTTGCTTTCGACGAGTTGTGCCTTTTTTCCTGAGGCAGAGTCACGGCTTACACTGTTTTAAGAAACTTCTTCGGCGAATGACGATGAACGAGTAGAAAACGTGTCTTCAGCACGCTGCCGCCAGCCTCTGCAATGCTAGCGAAAACGCGCCATGCAAGGTGGCTGTCCAGTGGCTGCACTTGCGCTACAGCGACCGAGCGGGGAAGCGCGATCCAGCAATTGTCATAGAGATCAACCTTTTCCACAAGGGCGCTCCCATCTTTAATGTCATCATTTCTGGTATACCACCGTTACTAGATCAACTCAGTTATGGAGCTTCCCATAGACGCTGTGCATTGGAGGGGGTCCGAAACCGTGTCCGATTTTTTTGCAGCTAGGTGGCGCTGCCGGCGCATTAATCCGCGGATTTTCGTGTGCTACTGCTCCGCGGCTGCCAACGTTGGCGGCTGCCAACCGCTGCAACTGTTTGCGAGTCCCAACCCGACTCCTCGGCGACCAGCATGGTTGTTTTTTCGCCCTTTCGCTAGTAAAAATACAACTTGAGCATGTAAGCGGTAGGACCATGGTGGCATACGCTTTGTATTATTTCAAAACGCCGCCGCCTTAGCTGTGCTGGCAGCGCAAAGCGTTTCGAACAACCCAAATTCGTCGGCGCCACAATCCGGTGGCTACAATCAGGGAAAGTTTGTACATAATGTAATAGTAGATGTGCCGTCTTACCAAGGCAATTCCATTGCTGGCCGTGATCGCAGCACACCAATACGAGCGTAAGTATCGGAACGCTTCGATTGCGTTGGGGGCATTGCTTTCGTTCTGTCGCCGTTAATATCTTGGGCACGCTGATTTGATGGAAGAGCTAAGTTCAGCACGCCTGATTTTCTGCCTGCCTGGAGCTTTTTGGGTGGCATTTTTGGCGAGAGAAGCAGTGCGCGATCATTATTTTGCGCCGACAGCAGACGACACTTGGAATGTGGTTCAGAGTCAACAGGAACACAGATTCAATGTTTTATTGGTTAAAACAAGTATCGGAATTTCTCATATGTGACTACCAACTGCAGCAGAAACAATTTGAAAGTCGTCTGCCACTGTCAGAAAAAGCGCCACGAACATCCGTAAGCTCAGTAGGCCAGATGCAACGGCCATAAGCGCGTCGTCAATGATGATGGTAGCGAGTATTAATGCGGAGCGCGCGCCCTCTAACTGGTGCCACGGAAAGGGACCCCCCTCCGGAGCGGAGTTCCAGAACTGAGTTGTTCTAATAACGTTGTGGTATACGGGTAAAACATTGCACGATCTGTCCATGCCGCTGGAAGGTGTTTATGAAAAATTCGTGATTGTCACACATTCTAGTTTTTCCTCACCTCTATTTTCTTGGATATTCCGGGTTGAAATATCTTATCATTTTTTCGGCCTGTATATCAGATATGGAACCCACGTGACTGAGAACGACAGGAAACAGAAAACATTGCACTCCCTGGCACACCCCCTGCAGCGCCCGTGTATACTCGTTTCGAGTTTTCACTTTACTCCATGCCGCTCCAAACTTAACTTAGGCTGACAATTTTTTTTTGTTTTTGGCATTTGCGAAAAACTTACTGGACTATAGTTTTTTTAGTTGTGGTTTTGCCTTTTGACGCCAGGTGGAGAACTTTGTGGAGGTAACTAGAGTTCCTGTATATAGCTACCTACGGTAGCAGACTTGCGCATTCAGCCTCGGCGGGTGGCCATAGCGCCGGCTTTCCTACGCGGCCCTGGATGCTTTGCTCGTCACGTGACTGAATTCGGCGAATAGCGTGGCCGCGTGCGCCGCCTCGCATGGAAAACAGAAAAGGAGGAGAAGGAGGCGACAGCAGGGGAACATATGCCGGGGCGCGTGCAACGTAGGCGGAGCGACCGTAGCGGTGGCTTTCCTGCATGTAGGTGGATGCTTTGCTACTCACGTGATTGATCTCGGCGAATAGCGGCGTGGCGGCGCGGGGAAAACAAATGCGCAAATCTGCTCCCCCTTGGGGGATCATAGCGAGGAAGTCTAGAGGTAACTACCCTCCCTATCCGTTTCCGAGTCAACGTTGTTTTTGAATGGCAAACCCCCCGCGCTTCAACCTCGCGCTCCTTGACGGACTCTGAAATCCAGGAACTGCTAATTAATTCAGGTTCTTATGACAGGGAACCTGAGTGTGCCTTGGATACTGATGAAAGTGATGCGAGGTGCCACTTTGCGTGGTACGGTGTTTTGAAAAATAACACAAGAATAAAGTTTTTTTTTTGTTTAATTAAAGGAATTCAGAAGTTAAATAACATTTTGAACGTAAATCAACATAATTTGGTAAATAAATGTTGATTTTGAAGCGTGCAAACGCGTTCTACAACCAAACTTTTTTTTTGCAGCGAAAAAAAATTGGCACGCTAAGACGACAAAAAAAACAAAAAAAAACGGTATTTAAAGGGTGAATGAATTCTCATCATCAATGTCTCTAAGTCTTACATGCTTCATATGAGGACGTGTGCTTCATTTCTGACTATGCGTTTCTTTGGTCCCATATCCTTTCAGTAATTGTCTCTCCTCTCAAAGCTTCCCAAGGTAAGCGCCCATGCAACACTTGCGCTTATACTCGCGGACAACTTTCTGTGGCATTTCCGACGATAGGAGGAATGCGCGTGCTCAGCTTCAATGGGCGCTCTAACACGCCCTCCCGTACCTTTGACTGCATACCCACAGAAAGTAGTTCCCGAGTATAGTCACTCTTCTTTCGACTCGTCCAGAAGTGGAGAAGGTTCTCGCCTCGTCTGCGGCTCCTTTTCCCTGTTCCGCGGTGGAGTATTCGTTGCAGTTCCTCTGTAGTGTGAGCCTGCCCTTCTTGGATTTCTTTGCTATGTCCGTCACAGGTTTCTGGAACACTTGCCTCTGAAATTAAACGTACCCGCAACTCTGGAACTGCATGCTTGTGAACGCCTTCTGACACGGTTGTTTAAGGCTGAAATGGTGCGCAGTCGCGGTAAAAAGAGAGGAGTATGAAGAACATGGCTGCGACTACATTAAGGCGCCTTTATGGTGGCATGGCTAGGGGACGATCCTTAATTTCGCGCAAACAATCTCCGTGCGTCGTCGCCGCATACCCACTGGCTGCCGTTTTGAGTCCGTTGTTGCTGAGCTTGAGCTGATGGCGATCAATGTTCCACGACATCGCAACGCACACCTCACTCGCGTCAAGATTGTCGTTCTTGGCAGACTATAAGCAAGAGCCTGCTTTGAATACGCACTGTGAAGGACCAGCTCGGTTACGGCGTTCAGTGGGCACCAGGAATTGTGTTGTCTCTGCGTTTAGGATAGTCGGTCGGCCCCAATGGGAGTTCGGTGTCTCCGTGTAGGTGAGATATTTAGGTGAGGTATTTAGTGAGTGGAGTGCGACTGCTAGAACGAGGTCTTTAACGTGCATCACAGCGGTACATGACCGCACACAGGTGCGATGCTCATCCAGATCGAAATGGGCAGAGGTGGGGATTAAACCCAGATCGCTGGGTCCTGCACGCGAATTTTTGCTGCATGTGCTCCAAGCTGCGATGCATCGAGACGCTCGGCCACTGGTCCCCCATCCGTGAGCCCCAGTTAAAAGTATCGTACAACTAAATATTTATAATGTACTTCTGAACCAAATGGTCCCGTTGTAAAGTTTGGGTGTCCCACACTACCTCCTCTCCGCAAATGGTGGCCGCACTGCACTGGAGAGCAAATCGGAGCGTGTTCCTGTCGAGCCTCTGGAGCAGCGTTCCGTCGCTGGCAAGAAGCACGTTGGCGGCGCTCCAGCGATTTGCCTTGACGTTGGCCAGGATGGCGTCGGCCATCTCGAGTGTCACGCCGTCGCTGTGCAGGAGCCGCAGATAGTCCGGCAGCATTCGGTAACCCTTCTCGTTCTCGGACACTGGGAAGCACCGGGCTAGGGTCTCTAGCACCTGTGGCAGGTGGAAGACGCGGGTTTTGTCTTTCATTGCACGTAATGTGGCATGCAACGTTGCATGTTTATTTTATTAGTTGCATTCTGGCAGTCGTGCTTCGAAATTATGTAAAGTGCAGCATGTCGTGTTTTTGCAGGCCGGATAATGTACAGCACAAATGATTGAAAAAATATTATTATTATTAAGAAAAAGTAGATAATTAGGTAGATTAGCTCCTATAGGATAAGATTTAAATTCGGTGTGTGCGAAAACTGCATCGAATCGAATAGCGCATCATAGCTTGAATACTCCAAAGGGAGCCGGTATGTCGTGGGTCTCCCCAGAGCTGTGAAGGCTATGAATGAGTCCGCGCTATATGGTTGTAGCTGCTATTCGCACACCACAATAGACCATTCCATTTAGAGCTCTCTGGGCGGCACCATATTGTTCGACCGCAGCGCCCTCTCCACACATCCGGGAAGTTCAACGGGTTCGGCGAGGTAAAACGAGAGAGAGGGCACGCCGCCGACTCCGCTAGCAGTCGACAAGCCGGGAGGTTGCCGTTCTCCATCTTTGGGCTGTATCGGCGGGCTGTACGGAACATCGAACTCTCGCTCGTGGCTGCCGTTATGAAGTGGTTCGCGTTCTTAGAATAGTTGTGGCTACTCCAAAATCAGCTAAATAGCTCTCTGTTGTTCTATTTCGCTAAATGATCAACTAGCATATCTTTTTTCCGTTACTTAAATAGCAGTTGAGTCAGCCGGCAGTACTACCCTCAACTACTGCGTGTATTGCGGCAGGAGAGCACGTTTTAATTATTATTTCAGACTTCCGCTCATGGTCGCTAAGGGCCTACAGCAGTACGAACTTTTTATAGTAAAAAAAAGGTACAGCAACCGGATTTACTTTTCGCCAAAGAGACCGGCCAATCTGACACAGTTTTCCCTGTTTTTTTTTTTTTATTTGCACGCCGGTAACAGCGCAATTGGACCCTGTGAGTCTTTTTATCTAGCATAGTATTACACGACAACTGGCATACCAAAATCTGCGCATCTGCGCTTGAAAGTTCCAAAATGACGCGATTTTAAACAGAGTTTGTACGCCAGCCGGACGCTAGCTACAGCCCACTCGGTGGAGCGGACGATGTGCGGGGTGAGAGGGTGAGTGCGTTTTTTTTCTCTTTTACCCTCTCTGCTATGTCCCTAATGGAACGGTCTATAGTCCGTTGCAACGCAAGAAGGTTGGGCGAGGGTAAGACGGGCCAGGGAGGGGGAAGCAGACGGAACGCTGGAGAAGAGAGGGGGGAAACCTCCTCTCTCTAGCGTTCCGTCTGTTTCCTCCTCCTCGGCCCGTCTTACACTCGCCCCACGTTCTTGAGTTGCCGATCCAATGCATCTACGCATGCAGTCAAGCCTCAAGCCACATAACTCAAAGTTGCATAAACATTTTAGGAGTTGCAGTGTTAGGAAATACTTAAAGTACTACTTCAAGTAGGTTTAGAAAACGTCTACTTTACTTGAAGTACATTCTCTGAATGTCTACTTCTACTTTACTTGAATTTTTTTTTTCTGGCACTTTCCTAGGAGACGACAACTACCGACTTCGAAGTACATTCCCCAAATTTTGATTTTGTTAAATTTATATCACAAAAGGATTTGTCAACTCTGAAGAAATACTGGGGGGGATATTCTACTCTCACCAGAAACGTGAGCAGACGACGCATCGCCCCGTTTGCTCTGGGGGCGGCTTTCTTTTAGCTTCTTGACCCCTCGCTACTTTTCGCTCGGTCAGCGCAGGCGAAGAGCTTAAAAGTATTAGGAGAGCAAAATTGATCATAATGTAGCACCTGAGGCTGTGGTGCGGAAAAATTGAACTTCCAAAGAAAGGGTAAAAGCACAGGCGAGCTGGTGTCTCCGGTTTACGATGGATGAACTTCCAAGTCGAAGAAAAATAACACAAAGGCGAAGGACAGAATGTTTTGAGACATTCTTTTTTTGTCTTTTGCTTCGACTTGAAAGTTCCTTAATTTTTCCGCACCACAGTTTCAGGTGTTAAATTATGATTAATCATCACCAGCTAGCCTGCTCATTCACTGTTTTTTTTTATTAAGAAGAGGACACTTTTCTACATGAGGATTGCTTGACGAAGCTACGGGCTGATAACCTTTCACCTCAAGAAAAGCAGGGACGTTTTGCGCATTGCTCATATGCCGCGCAAAGTAGTTCTTACAAGATTTGGTTCTGGGAAAAGAAGCGATCGATCTCTTTGGCGTTTGGACGGTATACGTCTTGATAAGGTAACATCTGTCTAATCTAAAATGAACCTACATCATAAAGGGGGGAATAGTAAAGCGCCGCGAGGAGCCGGACTTTCTTTTTGCAACGGTTCTTGAGGATAAAACGGGTGTAGTACATTTAAACCCCTTGGGTGCAACAAGCCAGTGCATGTGGCGCCAAATTCAGAAGTCGGAGGGACTTCTGAATTTGGCGCCATTTCTGAAAATAACTATTCTGTGGCCACTTCACTTTATCCGATATGCGCCACAGTTTTCGAAAAGAGGCCATGCACCCCTTATTACTAGTGATGGACCGAATCTGCCGAACTTCAGATTCAGCAAAGTTCACCACATGCCGAACTTTTGAAGGAAAACTCGGCAAAGTTTCGGCAAAGTTTCGGCAAAGTTTCGGCAAAAATTCGGCAAATGTCTACGCACGCGCGAGAACGCGACGGGGCGACGGGGCCATGGATTGCAAATGGACGCCGTGGAGTCGTGAGGTTACCATCGTAGAGTGTAGTACAACCAGCGGTTACGGCGAGGTGTGGAGTAGGCAACACGGTAACTGTGCGCTCGTGAACCGTCGTGATTGTGTTTCTCTTCAATAATTTCTGCCTCAAGAACAGAAGATCGACCAGAAATTGACGCAGTCCAGTGCGCAAGTGACGACTGATGTGGTACATTTTGGGCAACGTGATCTTCATGTGACCTTTCCAGTGATGCAACGAGGTAGTTGAAACATTGACTGACAATTACTTTAAAGCACTCCTAACAATTATAACAATCCTGTTTTCGGCTCACAAGCAGTTTCTGCCAAAACAAAATAATATTGCTTTTTAATTAGCGTTATTTCGCGGTTTTCATATATCTGCATAAAAGTAAACACAGAGCTGTCATGCTCGACGTTGCACATCCAACATTAATAACTCTTTACATTTTCCTAAACGTTCGTGTGTGTCCTAAAACCAGAACCGGCAATTTAAAGGTTAAAAACGAGACATTGCGATTATGGGACCCACACTTTCATGCAAAACTTACGTCAAGTGACTCAAATAATAAAAAAAAAATCCATATTTACAATAATATTGTTAACTCTTCTGGTGAAGGCTCAGCAACCGTTGCATTTGTTTTCGCGCGCGAAACGGTGACTCCCAGAGAAAGTAAGTACGCAGTGTTATTGCTTTTATTGTAGCAGTGTACACACACTTGCAGGCTTGTCCTGATGAGGCCTCAAAACCGAAATTCGTAGTGAGCGGGCGCAGTCACGAATCACGCTACGAGAGTTTCAGTTTTGAGGCCTCATCAGGGCAAGCCTGCAAGTTCGTGTACATTGTTAAAATCCCAACCTCGTTGTCATGCCATTTCTGCAAGAAGTCACTAAAATTGCCAGTAAACACACAAAAACGACACCGGTACGATTAACTTGTAGAATATCACCATATTTAGTAATAACTGTCAGTATGCATTACATGTTGCATTTAAGTTAGAGTAAACAACCAAAAACCCTTTTCCCGCAAAAAAAAAAAAAAATATATATATCGACGTTTATTCTGGTAACAATGCATTTTTGCCGAATCTTTAAAAAGCTTCTGCAAAGGTTCGGTTTTGCCGAATTCCAAGTTGACGCCGAATTTTCGATTCGGCAAAAGTTCCGCCCATCACTACTGATTACCCCTGGGGCAATGCATACCAGTTAAGAAATCGCTGTATAGGGGAATAAAAAGCCACGATGAAATATTGTGTTAAAAAATACTTGTACTTCACCTTGAAAGTACATTGTATTTATAGTAGTTTACTTTAAGTATATTGCATCCACTGTACTTTACTTGAAGTGCATTAACTCTAATTTATTTTCTATTTAACTTAAAGTTCTTTTCAGATGTACTTTACCCAACACTGATAATACGCCTCGCAAAAGCTTACAAGGTCTGTATACATGTGCTGTAATTTTCTTTGCCAGTATGTTTGCACATGTCTAGGGAATGGTGATTCCATAGACATGTTTGCCCAGGGAATGATAATTCCCTAAACGTGTAGGATATATATAGCAACTTGTGTATTTTGAGTTGGAGGTGAATTCGGCGCAAACTGTTAGTTGGTCCAATATTTTCGAATCGAATATTGAATAATTGTTGCGTCTCCATCTGAACTAGGGTGAGCTCCAGCTACACCCAATCGAGATGATTTTGGGACATTTTTCTACTCCCAAATGTCCTTCACTTAATCTCCAAGTAAAAAAAGGACAAAAACAAACAAACAAACAACAACAAATCAACAAATAACATTACAAGGTCTTTGAAGTTTGAAACATTATATCGTTACCAGTAATTTGAAAAAAATGTCTGGCAAATTGCTAGGTAATTGTGTTACATACGTGAACTGTTCTAGCATCAGAAACGTTTAGCGATACTCTGGGTTTCATATATGCAGGGCTGATAAACCTGGCGATGTTCCAGAGCATTCCATACGTTCGAGCTCCTCCCTCGAGTGTGCACAGGTGGTAGACCAAGCTCCTCCTTGCCTACCCCTCTGGTCACTAGACCCCCCCCCCCCCCCCCCCCCCCCCCTCGTTTATTGATCATTATCGAGCTTGGCGGTCATGATTATCAGGCTTCACTTATCAGCCTTCACGAAATGCTGAGCAGCTAGATAAAAAACGTGTATGTTAAAAACAAAACAAAATATAACCAGTGATTTATGCAGCTTGTGAGGGCGCCGTTGTCTAACATACATTCCAGAATAATAGGTATAGTTTAACTTAGAAAATGTTTTACTGCAGGGTAGCCATCAATTTCCACCGACTTCCAGTTTCTTTTGTTCTTAAATACATGCGCGCGCAGGAGGAAACATCCGTTCTGCAGGTGCGCTTTTCCTCCAAGTTTGGGTCTGCACTGCGGCGAAGCGAGATTCCCAGGATCACATTGTATCCTCCGCGGGTGTCGCCGTCAAGCCGACTTTAGAACTAAACCCCGTGATACGTACAACGTGCACTATCATGTGTTGGGACAGTTGGAGCCGAACAGCTGACATTATCCACGCGCCATCTGCCGGATTTACAGATCCGCTACCGGTATGCGGCAGATTTGGCGGATGGAATGGCGGATGGGCGGATCCCGTTTTGCCGCGGACACCTGAAACCGCAGCATGCCGTTTCTTGCCGGGTTCGACTACCGTTCGGTGTGTCCCCGGTTTTCGACAGGGTTATAGCGGGAATGTCCGGGTCGTCACCGTACCTCCACCACGACCTCTGGAGCGTCGCCAGAGTCGATCCTGATAATCAGGAGACCGCCGTGGTGCTCAGCCCGAGCGATGACGTGGCGACGTAGCTTTTGTCCCCACGTGTGTTCGCAGCAGTTGAACACGTTGTAGCTGTCGCTGACCACGGATGCCGGGCCGCTGGGAAAGGTCTGGAGGGCATTTCGGCACGCCGCTGCTTCGCCCGCCTCGCTCCACGGTGTCATTGTACTGCGCATAAAAGTCGGAATTTCACCGTCGCTATGATGCCATATATCGTTTATAACGAAAAATATTGATTTGGATAACCTCAATACGAGCGTTTGCAATTGTTTAAGGATTTCGAAGAATATCAGCAAAGGCCTTTATTGTAGTGGCGCGCCGGTTTCGATTCACGAACCTCTGGGTAATGGGCAAGTTGTCGAACCGGTCAGAAGGTACGGTTCGGGCTCAGTAGCGATCTAAGTTTGTTTCGGTTCGGTTCCGGTCACCGTGGTGATCCGGTTAAGTCATGCATGCCCAATATCGGTTCGTTTATAGGTTCAAACCGGATAATAACACATCCTTGCTGGGTGGTGGAATTAGCCTCAAGATTTTTGAAATATGACTAATTTTTGAGCTATGGTGTCCCGTTTAGTGAATCAATACATCAATCGAAATCTGGTGAAATATGAAAAAAAAAAAAGCCTCATGACCGCAAGTCGTCGCTCTATTTAACTAGAGCCCTAGAGCCACAAATCAAAATGCCATGATAAAGTATACGGAAAAGCCAGGAAAAGTAACCAGTCATGCGTGATTTACATGATAGTACACGCCAGCCGGCCGATGGCGTTCTGAGCGGACACATGGGGCGCTTTGCTCATCTCGCGGCCGCGGTTGCGGCTAAGAGGGATTTTTATGTCACGTGACCAACTCTATGGCGTTGTCCCCATGGAGTTGTGACAACCCCACGAGAAACCCATGATGAAGTACCTAGCGTCCCTGCCTAATGGAAGAGAATCCGTGTCGCTTCTAGTAGAAAAGTTTAATTTCGCTCGCAGAAACTGACTGCAGAGGCTTTCAACTGGAGTCAAATTAACCGTTTCTTTATACTTTAGGAGTGACAGGTAAAGTCACGACTAGGAAAGGTAAATATGAGCCAAAATAAAAGAGAAATCACGCGAGATAAAAGCGGTGCCAGTACATTTATAGACCTGCATGAGCAACGGACTTTGGAGCCCTCTGCTGTAGTCGAGGGTTAAGAGAACCGTGACTTGTCGTTGCGGCGGACGCGTTGCTGAGGAGCTGGTATATAGGACGTCACAAGAGGCTTAAAAACAGGTCTTGTTCCAGTCGGTTGTGGACAAACGCAAGTGTGTGGACAAACCTTAAGCACTTCTTATGAGTTGTGAATGCGAAAGCATGAATGTCGTTCTTGCGCGCGTCCTCGAGAAGTGGCCGCGCTGCGCTGACATCGGTCGTGCCGCCGCTCTCCAGGGCAGCGGCACAGCCGATTTCTTTCCCCAGAGTGGTCAATGGGAGGCGCAGGCAGAGGCAGCGCGTGCACCAGACGCAGAAAGAGGGCTTGACATGCTCTCTTGGCCAATCAGAAGCCGAAAAGAATCCCCTAGCGGTGGTAGCGAGAAACAGTTTTAATCGTTTTAATAAGCGCGTAAGAGTTAAATGTAGTAACCCTTCATGATTGAAAATAGGGTGCACGTGATGTTTCGATTATGATCATAAAGAAAGAAGTAAGAAACGAATGTGCCGCTTAACTCTGTTTTGCTCGGACAGAGTGTGACCGCTCGGACGGCAGATTCCCGGCCCTTGACGCTTGGCGTACAGATTATGTCGATCGTTCCGCTAGTAGCACTTTTCCACCATGGTTTTGGATGACCGTGATTAAAACATCACGTGCACCATATTTTCAGTCACCGAGAGTTACTCCGACGCACTTCTTAAGTTTGTTTCTCGCGACCACCGCCAGGGTATTATTTCCGGCTTCTGGTTGGCCACATTCGAATTTGTGAAGATGCCCTGGAACACGCCCAGCCCGCTTTCGACCAATGGCGCCTCCTCATTTGTCTCCTATACTTCCCACCGAATGGCCAAACTACTGCCTTTCCCGCGCGCTGGCGGTCTGCCCGTGCGCGTCAGCCGATTCCTTGTCTAGGCACGCTGGCGGCGCTCGCGGTCACGCAGCGCCGTGGGATGGCCCTCCTTGAAAGTGACGCGCAGCGGCCAATGGAGCCTCGTTTCTTGAAACTATGGCGCGCGCCTGCCAATAGGACCAAAGCCGAAATCCATCAGATTTCGGCTTCTCTTGGAGAAAAAGATTTAGGTGCCGTTTGGCGCAGCTTCAAAGCTGATGACGTCGGCTCGCTTCATGGGACAGTTAACGCTTTCGCAATAAAACTAGCTCTCCTCAAGACGTGCCCGAAATTAATGTCCGGATTTCGTCCGATCGCCGTGAAGGGACTGTCGCCGACACTTTAGATTGTGTATGCTGTGTTATTTGAGATTCTTCTCAAATAAACCTTGTTTGGGTGACGCGGCACCGTGGGGTGCGTACAATATGTTGTTTGACTGATGAGACCTGTTCAATGTTATGTCGTAAGCGGTGAGTACCCATGCCTTTCGGCTATCTTGTATGGTGATATATTTTTGACAGTTAAGAACTTTGTAGATTGACACAGCTGAATGTATGGCATCTTGAAAAACCTGCATAAAATTAAAGAAACATTCCAGTTCGATTCCATTTCGTTACGTCGCGCAAGAAACTCACCAAAATAGCTTTCAATTGCTTATTTTTGTTCTCAAAAATAATAAAACGCTTTCTTAAAAGCCTCGAGAAATTCTATTTGCCAGAAAGCACAAAAGAAACAATAAAACGCAGCAATTTAGCACCCACCAGCGTCCGGAATTGCTCTTATGCAGGCTGCCACGGCCCAATGACGAGAAAACCCACAGCCCAGCGCAGTCGGGCAACACTGACGTACACTATCAAAATCCAGGAACGCGCGCTGTACATCGCTTCGTTTGAGACTGCCGCTGGAAACGTCTACACTCGTTTTCATCTCAAGAACCGTTGTAAACAAAGACCGGCTCATCGCGGAGAATTACTTATTTTCCTTTAAGGTATGCGGAGCGCAAGTTCGTCTGCTTCTTTTGCAGGGGTTGTGATGACGTCAGAACGCCGAGTTCTGATTGGTTCTTGTTAAAAGATAGTGGGCAGACCTCAATGCAGCTTGCCTCGAGGTCTGCCCACTATCATTCAATCGGAGCCAATCAGAGCTCGGCGTTTTGACGTCACCACAACCCTTGCAAAAGAAGTCAGACGATCTTGTGCTCCGCATAGGCAGATGCATTTTAGTTGAAATATAGGTTATTCTATCAGGTCATATACGCTTCAAACGCTTAACAGCATTGCTTCTTCCTACAACAAACAAATCTCCTAAGAACTACTTAGCGCAGAGTATGAACAATGCTCAAAACTGTATCTTTGTTTAGGTGCTGACGCTACCAGCTGATGGGACCAGTCAGACTGAGTCAAAAGTGCACCATCATGGTGCTCGTCATGTTTCTGTTGGTGCTCTATTATCGCTAAACCAATCATAAACAGGAAAGGACTAGTGACTTTCGCTTTTGACGCTGCTTGATTAGTCCCATTACCTTCGCAGCGCCGACTGCTCTCGACCTAAACTGAAACGAAGTATAATAAAGTCTTGCCACTCAAATTTCGTCCAACAAAACAAAGGAGCTCCTTGACGTAAACAAGTAGAAATGTAATCAAGTTGAAGGGTTTATGCCTAAATGTTCGTTGTCAATTTGGTTTTGTTTCGATTTGGTCAAAAATAACGGTTTTGACCTAGTTTCTGGTTCGGGTTTAGTTTGAGGATCTGGTTATGGGCCCATGCAGCACACTTCTACTGCTCCACTCTGCTGTGATTTGGAGCTAAAGAGGAGGGTGCTATGGAGAGAAAACAAATATAAATTGAAAATGAAAAAGAAAATTGAAATCTGTGTTGTTTATTCAATGAAAAGGTAATCTGAAAATTACCACAAAAGCACCTGGTTTTGTCTACTAGAGACATTGAATACCCGCAAGAGTGTTCGCCAGCAGAGCGTAGTCTCGACCCACGAACCTCTGGGTTATGGGCCCAGCACGACCTAACTGCGTCAATATGCTGAGATTTCCAGTGGAAGTGAATGATTATGTCCAGAGAGATATTTATATTCTAATTGAAAGGTGTTGTTTTATTGCTAGTTTGATCAAAATAGTCTAATGAAATGAATTAAGTTACTGTTTGTCAGTTGATCAGAAATCTTAAGGAGCAGCACCAAAAGGTTCCACTGCAGTAGAGCGTAGTCACTCTTACGTGATTTCAAGCTAAATATGTTTTTGAGAGAGATATTAATATGGCACTGTAAAATGGTTGGTGTCTTGTTAATTTGAACAAAATTTGATTTAACGGATTTAAGTCACTATCGTTTAGTTCATGCAACGCATGTAACACCAGCAAAATATCTCAATTTAGCAGAGCGTGGTTTCGATCCACGGACCTCTGGGTTATGGGCCCAGCACGCTTCCACTGCGCCACTCTGCTCCGATTTCGCACTGATCAGAAAAATGATGTGAAGAAGGAGGGATATTAATTAAAAACTGAAAAAAAAAGAATTACCGGAATTTATGGTGTTAATTTGAACAAAAGGTAAATAGAAGAATTGCCATATGTGCACTAAACTTTTGTCAAATAAGGATTTAAAAAAAAAAAAAAAAAAAAAAAAAAAAAAAGACAACATTGTAGCAGAGCGTGGTTTTGATCCACGGACCTCTGGGTTATGGGCCCAGCACGCTTCCACTGCGCCACTCTGCTCCAATTTCGCACAAAACAGAAGAATAATGTAAAGAAGGAGGGATGTTAATTCAAATCTAGAAAAAGAAATATCGGAATTTATGGTGTTAATTTGAACAAAAGGAACTATGAAGAATTTTTGATATATGCATTAAACTTTTGTAAACTAAAAATGAAAAAAAAAAATCAAACAATTGATTGAAACCACACAAGAGTGTGGTTTCAATCCACGGACCTCTGGATTATGGGCCCGGCACGCTTCCACTGCGCCACTCTGCTGTGATCTGGCGCAAAAACGGACCATGTTCTGGAGAAGGATGGCAATAAAAATCGTGATATATTGTAATAAATTGAACAAAAGATATTATAAATATTTCCGATAGAGACAATCTAGCTTTTGTCAATTAGTTGGAAAATCTGCAAGAACTTTCTCTTTAGCAGAGCGTGTTTTTGGTACACGGGCCTAAAGGGCCGAAAGGTTCCACTCTAGTCGGCAGGCTCAGATGTACGCCGTTAAGGTAACCAAGCCGTGCATTCTCAAGAGCATAAGTTCTAAATCCCGAAAGACTAATATTGAACGGAATGCAAGGGCGCAAACGAGCTGGTAAATATTGAGCATGACAAAAAAAAAAAAAAAAAAAGAAAGAAAACCGAGACTGCTGAACAGGCCGTTTCAGTTACGTTTGAGACCATTTTTTTTTTCTTTTTGTCAGGACTAATATTGCCTGCCCACTTAGGACACCTAAGTGCTCCATGCCGTCAGTCCCTTTTTTGCTACAAATGGAGGCGACGTTGCTGAATTGAGATACCGGTATTTTGATGCGGTCTGAGTTGAAGGTGCAAACCCGGGGTAAGAAGCGTTAGCGTCACCTGCGATCCGTGGACGGGTAGGAGAAGCCGGCCATGGGGCAACCGTAGAATTCTTTGACCAGGCAGACGCCGGCGATGTTGTCAGTACTCGAAAAATTCACGAGGTGAGCAGCGCCTCCGATGGCAGCCGACTGAAAGGTATTGGAAAGAGATAAGAATGTCTGCGCCACCTGATTCAACGGCACATTTTTAAATGGCACCGAACAGACGTCTATAGCGTCACGTCGAGCTAAGCTAGTTCGCGTGCGCATCTTGTCTCCATCTCTAGCGCCAATCAGTATGCGTGAATGCTTAACAGACGGTTTTGAGCAGCGAATACATTAGCCGATGGAATCTGTGATTTAGTAGCATGGCGTTTGAAGAATGGTATCGAAACGTAAGCCAGTTTATGTAAAGACGCATGCATGAATTTCCGACCATTATCTAATCGACAATAGGTTTTATACGAAAATGGGTACGTTTGGCAAAGTGCTACGTTTACAAAGCTCAACACAGTACCACAATAGAAGGCTCGTAATTTCGCTGTGACACATGAATCATAGATGCGACAGACCTGAGAAGGTTTATATTTAGAGGTCTCTTGTTATTCTCTATACTTGGTGTAGTATGCCCGTGAATTCACGAAACGTATGCGCATAAGAAAACTGAGGTTCCAAGAGGGTGAAGAGTTACCTCCACAGAGGTGGCTCCTTGGTATCCGAAATCATGCAACTGATAGGAGAGGCTAGCCTTGGTGTCGGAAGTGTCGGATAGATACCTGGCCAGCAGCTCCTTGTAGTGCCAGCTCTTTGTGGCCACCGTGGTCGGGTACCAGGTCTGCGTCAAAAGCGTCTGAGAGCGCACCAGGAAAAAAGAAAATTGTAATCACGAGCATCATGTTATTGCGAAGCAGCCAATGAGCACGTGGCATAAAATAATAAGAACGCATAAAAACGAATTAAATATAAGAGGCGGGAACTTGACAAACCAGCTCTCTGCCTTTCTCAAGCTTTCGGTGACTTTAATGACAGTTATAAATGGTATCTTAGGGAGGATGGGTGTGACTGCTGCCTCTCGATAAGCATTTGAGTGTTCTAATTGTATAAATGTGCCCTCATAGGTGTCTAATAAAAATGACATAAATGCGTAAGCTCCCACCCTGTTGTTCTTTAGCTGACTTTGTCGCTGTTTCGGTATTTTGGTGAACCATAGCTCCGCCGCAGAGTGCTCAGTGGGCTGTTCAATAGCAAGCTGAGGAAGGCAATAAGTGCTGTAGCTGTGGCCACCGCCTATCATTAAGCCTGCCACCTTCTCTTGGCACTCTACCTCCATCCGTATAGTCCCGCGGCTCGCTCTGGGGACCAGTCGTTGATGCGTCTTTAATTAGTCTAGCCAGTAAGGGGGAAAATTGATATTCAATTGTTACGCAGTTTCAACGAGGAAAACCTTGTGCATCTGCTGCTACTAAGAGAACGCTACCGTGGGAGTCTTTCTGGGGCAGCTTTCTTTCGAGGCTCGATGATTCCACGAAGGGGGGGGGGGGGGGGGGGGGGGGGGGGCAGATTGGAGTTTTTACCCGAAACCATTCGGTGAGCCAGGGCAACTCCGGGTCCGTGTTTTCAACCGTGAAAAGAACGTTGCGCGTGGGAACTACGCTTCCTTCTGGAACGGCCTTGATTGCGAGTGGAAGGTGACCTCCGTGCTTCTGTCGACAAAAGCGCACAGGACGACAGGCCAGTTTAGGCTTGAAGCCGGAGAGCTGTCGAAGCAACAGTTAACGTTCGCACGAGGTCATGAGTAGTCGAAGCAACAGTTAACGTTCGCGCGAGGTCATTAGTGAAACTATGGTGCCTGGTGCGCGTCTCCGACTGGTGTGTTTAACGTCCTATCTCACCCACACATAATATGTGGTCCTCAAGTGGCAACAAATGAGGTTACAGAAGTCGCCGTGTCATGATATCGGATGTCGCCATACTGGTGGTTGGTCGTAAGAATGCTGGTGAAAAGCACGAGCGAACGCGGATGTCCCTGCCGTCGCGGCGTTCCAACTTCCGGCTGCCTAAGCTTGCGTGAACTGACACACTGGAGGGCGACTCGAAGCAGAACGGGTGTCTGTCACATCAACCACCACTTCTGGGACACCGCCAGGATCGCGACTGGCGACAGCTTGACACTTTTGTGACGTCATCAGGCGGAAATTGAGGGACCATGTTTTTGGGCGCGCTAAACAAACTAGTCGGAGACACGTTCCAGGCACCATATGAAACTCTCAATATACCTTTCGTGACCTCTTATCTGGTACCGACTTACTACGGTCACGTCAACTTAAGAAATTGCAGAGCTTTTTTTAGGTCCGCGCCACTTGCTTCGCGATTTGTTCCTCGGGGTTCCTATCGGCGAATGCCGCAACCTCATTGGTTGTCAAGCCATAATGAGCTGCTCAGGACCCACCACGCCCTGTGTTTCATAAACTGTGACTATAGTCTCTCACTCTCGGGAAACGCTATCACTCTAAGAAACCAGAGGCCAGATTCACGAAACGATCTTACGCCAAAAATGTGCGTAAGACAAAACTTAAGAACAAATCCGTATTCACGAAACGAAATTTTCGTAAGTTTTGCGCAGGTTACGACGAAATCCTACGACAGCTCCGAAGCTGTCTTACGCACTTCTTACGATCAAATCAGCATGGCCGACAGCGTCGCTCAGTTGGTCGCGACAACCAACGGATGTTTATCTTTCTACGTGAGCTTCTCACGCGTCCCGACTTCAAGCAGCAAGAAACAAGTAAAACGTACTTGAAACAGACCACGACGAACGAACAAGAACGCTGGATCCACAGACACCCGGGAAAAACTCCAAGGGCCACGAGTACGGACTCCGACCGATCGGCAGATAGGCCTAGCAGGCACTCCGACTCGGCGCAGCGATGATCTGACGGTCCTTGGCGAAGACCGTCTGCCCACGACCGGCTGGCGTGCTGAATGGAATATGCCCGCGCGACCCTTGTGAACCCTTCCCGTATATAGTTTGATCGCTGACCTCAATTCTAGATTAAGGGGTCAATCTCTTCCCCTTGTCATCTCCTTGTTTTCCGAGGCAACGGTGACGAACGCTGTCGTCGAAAAGGGGCTCTCATCGATTCTATCTCTGTTTTGTGTGATATCAAGCTCAAATAAACGCCGTATGGATTACCTTCGCAACATGGTATGTACACTTTGTTATTATTATTCCATTTTAATCTGACACGACTGCACCTCACAGTCGATCGCTGTAACAGTTCGTGGGTCGCAATGCCGGTCCAAACTTTCTTCGCCGGGTGTCACGTCAGCATCGAGTTGCAATTGTAAAGGATCGGTCCCGAAGCGCTTATTAATTCGCGGTCCAACAGCGCAAATCCAGCACTTCGATCAAACGCGCGCTTCCGTTCCGTAGTGTGAACAGGCATTTACGTGGCTCTTGCTTACACTGTCATAGTTCAAACGTATATTTTTTAACGTCGGCTCGCTCCTGTATCTCCGAGGCCGCAAAAAAGGCCGCGGCAATTTGTTCCCATCTAGGTCGCTCTGCAAACGACTGCGGGGCGTCTTTTACCAACGATGACAGTTCTGTTGACTTGGTAGCGATCGAGTTCGTAGCAGTCAATGGGGATGGTTACGCATCCCGGCCTCGGCATTCCGGCGAGTTTAAATCGTGTTCGCGTCGACATATCACTGCACGGATACGAACCCCAGACCAGCGGTGGCAGAAAGGCCACCTGTGTTTGTTATGAAAAATCCACGTGCTCCGAACGGCTCCGAACGGCTCCGAACAAATGCCGAGCTCTCCGATTGGTTGTTCGTGCTGCCGAAGACGCCGTCGCCATAGCAACAGCACCGGTAAGTTTTAGTTTTTCCGTACGACAACGTCGCTTTCCTCCTCTCACTTAAGAACGCGTTCGTGAATACCGATTTCTCCTCTTCTTTAGATGTTCTTAACTTACGAACTTCTTAGTTAAGTTGTCGTAAACTAAGAAGCTCTTCGTGAATCTGGCCTCTGGAGTGTCGACTTTTTCTATGTTCAATGCCACAGCGCGGGCTGTTTCTTTGGGGCCTCTAAACTCGTCAAGCACAAACAGTTGGGGCCGAAGTTGACGGAGCGCACCGATTGGCCTGTCACGACGATGACTTCGCGCTTTTTTCGCTAACGTCCAATCTGACCGAACTTCCGGCTCCAGCTTTGTGTTTGACGAGTTTAGGGCCCGAAGTCTTAACAATATCCTGAGACTCGTCACTCGCAGAACTTCCCTCTCAGATTGCTGCGACGGGCGCTTCCAAGTGCTTCATGGGGAAGTCGATGCTCCAGATTCCTTAACGAGTATATGCAGCGTTATGAAGTACTTTAAGCACTTTATACTTAATGTACTACTTCATGTAGATTTAAGAAATGTGTACTGTACTCGAAGTACATTCTCCGAGTATGTACTTGTACTTTACTTAAAGCATTTTTTCCTGGTAATTTACGACGAAAGTACAACTCCCGACTTCTAAGTACATTACCCAAATTTAACGACATAAGAATGGCATACCGTCATGTGAAAATGCGCTGTCATCTTTCGAGACGTCATCTCGTCATTTCTCTGAGCGGAGTAATGGTGGCTATATGACCGATACAAATGAGTGCTTTCGTTGATTTTAATAGTTCGACAGCGAGAGTAAACAACTACTTTGTGGCCACTTGACTTTATACAACATTCGCCGTGGTTTGCGAAAATAACTGATGCACCCCATTACCCCTAAAACAAAATATACCAGATTGAAAAAAAAAAAACTATAAGGGAATGAAATTATTCTAGAAGATTGTGTTAAAAAGTACTTGTGATTTACTTTGAAAGTACATTATATTTACTTGAAGTGTATGGTGCCCGGTGTACTTACTACTTTACTTGACGTACATAACCTCTAATTTACTTTGTACGTTAAGCACGTTTTAGATGCACATTACCCAACACTGAGTGCATGTCAAACTGCACCGCGATGTACTCGAAACACCAATCATTGAGTTTTCTTTTTTAAATCGGCAACGGGGGGGGGGGGGGGGGGGGGGGGGGGGGGATGTGAAGAGCGATCGCCGATCGGTATATATATTGTTCCAATAGTCACGCGGTCTTACTCGTCAAAATGCTAAATGTTTTCTTACCACCAAAGCTGCTGAGCCATAATTATTTTAGCGTGAAAGTGACCCTCTTTCTCATTGATAAAATTGATAAAAGGAAGACCAATAACAGTGACTTCTGGGAGTTTACCAAGTGAACACTTTATCAATTTTGCTCGGAGACGTTGGATGAAAAGCGACTTGCGGGTTGCTTTCACCGTTTGATAAACGAAAAAAAAAAAAAAAAACACGAAAGCAACGTGTCCTTGTTTTTGTTGCCGTCTGGGGACATCGAGGCGTCATAAATGTTTCCAGCAATGTCTTGTTATAGCAGCTATTTCGCATGACTAGGGACACTTACTTCCACGACGTGCATCCAACCCAGCTCGTTGAAGAGCTCCTGGTTGAAATGGAGCCGAAAGAACTCCTTGGCTTCGAGCACTTTTTCGGCCGTGATGACGGGGCCGACGAGCCACCTCTTGAGTAGGTACTGGAGTCCAAAGAACAGAGTGTTCTCGAACTTGCCTCCCTGGCTCTCGAAGTAGAAATATGTGACCGTGGTGCCTGGAGGGTACTGGAGGTAATGACACACCTAAAAAGAAAAGTTTGCGTGGATAAAACAAGATAATGTTCTTTATTTCTTTAAACGCGCAAGTTTGTTTTGGTCGATTTTCCAGGAGATAGTACACGACTTTCACAGTAAGTATGGTATCTATGCTCACGCACTTCTCAAGTGACAAGCATCAATTGTCATTTATAGTAAGTTAAGGTGTATAAATGTTAGAAAGAAACACGTTGACAATTTTTATCAAGAAAGTGAAGCGGAGCGACGACATTGACAACCTGAGACTTCATACCCATTGTCAGAAGGAGTAAAAACTAAAACTATATCAAGCGATTTTCTGGTCCAGCCTTTTGCACATTCTGGTGACTATCGGGAGTGGCATCGAGGCATGCTAACGAAAACCTTCCCTTTTCTATCATATTTGTAAACATAAATGTTGGTAGATAGTCCTATCTTCGCTTCACCATTCGCCATAAGTGCAGGCCGAAACTATAAGCCGATGGGGTCAGTCACACAGCATCAAAACCGCAGCGTTACGTAATTTGTCGTCTTTTTGTGCGTTTGGTATTATCGGGGGTAAACTAATTAAGTGCAGTGAATAGGCTGTGGACTTCCGTTTTTCGTGTGTGTGGGCTTGTGTTTGTATGTATTCTAGCCTTTGACAGCGCTCGAACTTACGGTGAAACGAAGTATAAATCAGCGAACCGATCCAGTATTTTTAACGAGTTAAGGTCGTGACACTGGCCATTATAAGTCCCAAGTAAAAGAAAGACATATTTTACTAGAAGGTGTTGCGAGGTATAATAATATTAAGCATTTTGTTACCTAAAAATGTAGCCGAGTGACTTTACGATGTAGGATGTAGGAAAGCAGGGTCTCATCATATATTTATGCACTTTTAGCTCCTCTCCTGGTGCCCTGCGTGACTTATCTTTAAGAAATCAGCTACTCACTTACTGTGTTGTAGACGGCCTTCTCGTTCGGACATCTAGACACGTGTATACCTTCCAGGACTTTCATATCTTTTCGTGCATTCAACGTGTCCATCCGTTCAGTTGTGTTAAGTTGCCTGTCGCGACAATACCTGGGAGAAGTTCACGCAGAACACTTGAGGTGGTAGCTATTTTACTGGAAAGTACGGACTGGCTATGCTTCATCTTACGAGCCATTGCACTCCAAAAAAGCCGATGCGTCTAGTTTCCCGCACAGCACTTGGAGAGTCAGTCACGGCAACTTACGGAGGCAGCTCAGCGAATGACGATGCCGAAACATATGTTTAGACCAAAAACCGCGTCTTAGTTGTGACATTAAGCAATGCAAGCGTTACGTTTTGCATTGCTTAATGTCACTACTAAGACGGAGTTTTTTCGTCTAAAAATATGTTTCGGCAGAGCGAAGCAGCCCATTGGAGGGATGTTTCGGTATTGTCATTCGCTGAGCTGCCTCCGCAAGTTCCGGTGATTGGCTCTCCGAGTGCTGTGCGGGAAAGTAGACGCACGGGCTTTTTTTTTAGAGTGTGATTCGCAGCTAGGGTGTTACGTACTCTGCATGGTGCGTGAATATGCGATGATACTCTCGGTAGTTTCTAACTCCATCGTTCATCGCGTTGCAATGGGAACACCGATCATTGATCTTTCTTTTAGTCTGTTCAACCAATAACATAGATCAGTGGTTCACAAATTAGTGTCCGGGAAGCCCTGCCTCATCAATCAAACCCGACAATAAAAGTGATCTTTTTGCAGATCGAGAAGAAATTTTCAAATTTTCGGGCGAGTTTTCTTGTGTGTATGTCAATAGAGAAGTCTACTTCACTCTAGCTCTTAGTTATATCTATTTTGTAAGGAGTGTAAAAAAAAATTAGTTGTTTTTTTTACCGCAAAACTAAACTAGGCATCGCCGAACGCCCATTTTCCGCCCAAAAGTAGAGCTAGAGGTCACAACCAGATGCCAAAGTTTCAGCCCGATCTGATACCCTATTCAAAAGTTATAAGAGATTTTCTGAAAATTTCAATGGGAAAAAGGAGCCCATTTTTGCCCGTTTTCGGTTTATGTATTTGAAAACTCCGTCGGCCACCATTTTTCCCATTTAAATTTTCAGAAAATCACTTATAACTTTTGATTAAGTTATCGGATCGGGCTGAAACTTTGGTATCTGGTTGTGACCTCTAGCTCTACCTTTGGGCGGAGAATGAGCGTTCGGCGATGCCTCGTTTATTTTTGCAATAAAAAAGAGAGTGGTTTTTTTTTGTGACATTCTGTATATCAATATAGCCGCCCGCGGGGCCGAGCAAGCAGCGCTGGGTCACGGGCTGCTAAAACAATTGCGTCTATTCTTGCTGCGGACGTAACTTTTAACATTTATTCCTGCTTACTTGTTCTCGAAAGTGCATGTTCATTCTCGCCCCGAGCGCGCAACTCTCATCCTTCTTTGCCGAATATTCTAGATAGTGACGTAAACTAGATAAGAAACTGGCCGCGCCCTTGTCAAGTCAGTCTCGCCCTAGCGCTGGATCCTGCTCTTTCGCCGGCATCGACGCCTGCGACCTAGGCCTTTTTCTCGTTTGTTTTGGGCACAAGTTGGCCCCATTAAACGTTCGTTTTTTTCAGTTACTCGCCGCCTCATCATTTGTCAATCGTGACAATATTACATTTAACCTAAAATTTTTTTTCTCCCCTCACCACGAACGTAATCCTCCATCATCTCCGCTGATCTACAAGGGGTCCGCACAATATCGATAGTCGAGAACCACTGACATAGATGAGCAGTATCGTGCTGAAGCAGCCACGTGGTCTCAGTAACAAAAAGGGGTGGGACCGATTTTGCCACTGAGACTATACTTGACCACTGAGGCCCGATACCGCTGGCCCTTCACATTGGTTGAGCTGATTAACAGATGGCTAACGATCGGTGCTTCCAGAGCCTAAGAGTGCGCTCTGTTGGCTATAGTATTGCTTACCGTTGAAGAGTCCGTGCAAAGAATGACGTTCTTCAAACAGTCGAAGCAGTCCTCTTTTTTCGGCGTCAGCCTTTCGCTGCTGATCGTGAGGGTTTCATGAGTGGACCCGAGTCGCTGCAACATACCATAGTACGCAGGGTAACTCCGCGAGCGTCAATGCAATTTTTCCCTGGGTAACTATAGTTCATGACCGAGAAATTCAGACCATAAATTGCGCCGTCTGCTTTTTGCGGTTATCGGAAGATTGCGCTACAAGTCAATGGCATCGCTAACTCGGTCGTCTGCGATGGCGCCCAACCTTGATTTGGCAAGTTTTTAGAGCGCTGCTCTTAAGCGCCCGTTTCCGTGTTTCGCTGCGTCGGGGTCGGCATAACTACGTTAAATGTAGCGGTAAAATCGCCGTCACGTGACCTCAACACAAATCCAATTCTCCGCTAAATTTAGCGGGGAAATTCAGTTTCTCCGCTAAAACCAGCAAGCAAATTCAGTTTTTCCGCTAGATTTAGCTGTAAAATTGACGTCACGTGACCTCAACACCCATTCAATTCCCCGGAAAATTGAATTGGCGTTGAGGTCGCGCGACGTCAGTTTTCCCGCTAAATCTAGCGGAGAAACTCAATTCGTTCATATGTGACGTGACACCAAGTCATGTGACGTCATTTTCCCCACTAAATTTAGTGGGGAAACTAAATTGGAGGAGGAGGTCATGGAGAAGGAGGAGGAGAAGAAGAAGGAGAGGACATAGAGTTATTACAATAAACGCTAGAGGCTCAGGTGGCGCTAGTGTCTACGGGACTTCCGCTTGCAAATTGAAGCAGACAGCACGCAGTCTACATTTCCAGCCTCCCTGTGTATTCCTATGGGAAAACGCGCGTGAATTTTGTCTCTTCGCCAGAAAATAACATGAATAACTTGTGTCATTTCGGTTCTACCGGATAGTGTGTAACTTCATTGGTATTGTGAAAGTGTAATTGCTTTAATTACAGCATTTTTCTTTACCACTGAACGATGTTAAACTTTCCTCTATTTCAGGCCCAAACCTCTGTTTCAAGGAAAGTATGTAAAAACGAGCGACGATTGTAAGCAAACTAACCATCGAAAGGCATGTAGAGTGTATTCAAGGTTTGCTAGCATTTCGTTAGTGCTTATATGTTGCTAATATGCCCGTCCTGTCATTGGATGAAAATGACTCCGTCGTACATCTTTACGATCGGTTCAAAAAATATTCGAACGCAAAAAAATAAAGCACGTACGTGAACTACGAAAGGTGTGTCTTTTTATTATTTCCTATGTCGGGCACTTTTTATCAGGCACCTGCTCTCTGGCTCCCCCTATTTGCAAAGATTTGGAGCGTGCGGGTGATGGGTGATGATTTGAATTCCCAGAACAAGCATCTTCGCATATATTCATGAGCAGGAATAAAACAGTACTTATTTATTGGAAATCTGACTACATTACGTGGCATTCAATTTATTTTGATCGTCTGCATGCACAAGGAGTTACTTATCCAATGTTACTGCGTAGTTCTTGCTGTCTGTCTTGGTTTTCCACATGTCCTTCGTTCGTTAGGCACGTTTATCCCCCATGCTGGAAAGCGTCGACGCCGTGTTCGAGCTAACAGTGTCCGACAGTGCACATAAATACACGTCCGAAGCGGTTTTAGCACCGTTTTTCATGCCACGAATTTCAAATAAAAATGCTGTAACTGACCAATTATTTCGTCTGCGTGACTGAGAAATGTTCCAATGTGCCTAGTACGTACAAATTATTCGTGATATTTGCTCTGATAATCGAGCGCAGAAAGAAAATGCACTCGCTTTTTCCCATAGAAATGCATTACCGGAAGTCAATTTCTGACTGCTTGCTGTCTGCTTCAGAATGCAACAGCACACTAGCGCCAGCTGAGCATCTAGAGTTTATTGTAATAACTCTATGGGAGAGGACAGGAGAGAAAGAGGAGGAGGGGCATACCCTCCCTTTTTCTCTCCAGGAGCTGCTCTCTAATTTTGCATTATAGAGATTTGTAAACATCTTTCATTTTTTGCTTGAATTGTTTTACAGGAAGAAAACTGCGCCCTGAACTTTCTCACGGGTAAACTGGCCGGCTCGGTACATAATCGGTAGAAGTTTGAGCTTTGTTATGTGCAAGCGCCGATTTTTTCCGGTTCGTTTTACAGCGGAAAATCCGCTTAGGATACCCTATACACGTAAACAGATTGCTCACAAATACGCCGATACGTATAGGACTGTGTTCAAATTAGGAAAACGGGCTAGCACCGTAGGTCACAAATAACCCACATTAAAAAAGAAAGCATGTTCTTTAATGTTTGCTATTGACCATCAACTTTTTTCTTACCAGACACTGGCAGTTTAAAAAAAAATCGCAGGGGGTGGCTTATAATTTTTAAGCTGCTTGCTTCGCGATATTTTATTTTGACTCTTTGAACGGTTAATGCAGCAGTATCATTGGCTACGCAGCAAAAATAAGATGCTCTGGACTGGGCTCTGACGATAGAGAGGCACATAGCTGTGGTCGCGGGTCGCATGCAAGTTGTAAGTTTTCGTTGCAACGAAAACAAAATCTTATATTAAGAAACCGCATTTAACGTTATGTTGAGCTTCCTGATAGCCATTGATTTTAAGGTTCCAGTAATATACAGAGTAGAAAGAAAGAAAGCGAGAGAGAGAGAGAGAGAGAGGGAGAAAATATGTTATGGTTGTGGAGATATTTATGTACGTGTATACCCAGGATGTTTCAATCACTTTTACGTATTTATACATGTATGTCGAATGTTCTGGAGGTCGCAATATAACCTTGCTTTTCGGCGAGATGCACAGCTTTCTCGGAACAAAGTCTTCACCACGAGAAAAAATGCTAAAAGTGGCGGTGGTAAAAACGCTATTTATAGTTACACGAAATATCACGAAAGGCGGCATTCAGTGGAGTAGTGCTTCGATTCTTTGACGGAAGCTATAGGCTTTTCGCTTTATGCAGTCAGCTTGGCGGGTGCAAATACCCTACAATTTCGTGTGCCCGTAAAACAGACACATGATGACAGCATCCGGGCATTGAAGATACCATGCATACCCTATGCAGTTCCTATACAAAATAACATTTCACAGTGAAGGGTAGCGACTGCTATAATATTAATTGAGAAAAAAACAAAATGTAATTTTATTATTGACACTGCTACAGAATTTTGTTGGTAACATGGGCATGTTGTCAAATGTTTTTGCAGATTTCATCATCAACTCTTTGACCTGTCAAGTCACCCTGTCAAGTACACAACGCTTCGCTGCATGTAGCTTCGTTTTTCAGACCGCCCTATGATCCGCTACGCTCTCAAAACTTTCTGCGTACATGTGCCGTCCCGCAGTGCTCACAGAGCTCTGGACATGGGGTTTTAATCGTTTAAAACGATGTTGATGAACAGAATCGCGCCCCAGCGGTCACGCAACATCAGTGGCAAAAAGGCGTTCATTCCGTATGCATTATGATCATGGTGTTTAAACCCCGATACTGGGAAGGAAACTTGAAGATATATTAGAAGAAACAGACGAAAAGTGACTTTTCTTCTGTTTCTTTTAATATATCTTCCAAGTTTATTCCCAGCCTCTGGGTTTAAACATCATGATTAACATGGACCACCTCGCCCGGACGTTGACAATTTATCCCATATTTTACTGTCGTTTAATCAACAGAGGAGAATGATAATGATCTCTCTTCCTATTAGCTAAGTTGAATAAAAGCCAACCAATGAGCGCTACTCCGAGTGCGTCGCGGTTCAGCGCACATACACGCTCAGGAACGTTTGTGAGTGCGCAGCTCTTCATCTGTAGCCCGGGAACGGCTTCGGATTCACGCGCACGGCGACGGTCTGATGAGACGCTCCCGATGGCGAGCCGGCGAGAAGCGTGTAGAATCCGGCGTCGTTCAACGTGATGTTGTTCAACGTCAGCGTGAATGGTTCACGAACGTCCGCCGCTGCTGCATCTTTGATCAGCTTTGCGTACGGTGCCCCGTTTTTGTCGAAGTAAGTGCCGTTCACGTGGTAGTGCTTGATCCACCGAACGAAGGCCGTCAGGTAGCTGTAAACCTCGCAACGGACCACCACATCTTCGCCCTCAATAACGGTTCGGTTGCGGTCTTGGCAGACGACGGTCGGCGTCGGTTTGAAGCGTTCGTAGACGTCTAGATGATACGTCCATTCGACGGAGCCCAAGTGGTTGGCCACAACGCACGTGTACTCGCCGCTGTCGTTCTTGGTGAGACGTACCAGATAAAGCGTAAACTGGTCTGCCGGTCTGGAGGTCGGACTGTTGGCCTGTTGAACCACCGGTCTACCGTCTTTAAACCACGATACCCTGGGTGTCGGGTTGCCCCTCGCGTGGCAGTTGAGTCTCACGGCCGTTCCGATGGGCTGCACTTTCATGATGTTCTGCATTCGCTGGGGGTTTGTGAACCACGGTCGAGACTGAGAGCTTTCTTCCACAGTGTCCACGAGGTTGTCTTCCGTTGAGGAAGATGTGACGGTCGTTGCGGCTAATAAGAAGCCGACTAGCATCATCACCGGCCGCTTCATCCTTGAATACGCCGCTGATGTCTTGTACCCTTTCATCGGAAGAAAATGGACTTCTTAGCACCAATCAATCCTCGATGGTTCCTTTTTCTAGCTGTTGCACCAGTATCAGCCGCCCCTCTTCAGAAGCTTATTAAAGCGCGAGAGTAATTTTATATTAGACTAGTTTATGAATATAAAGCGTCTATGGTGATACAAATCCGGGATACACGAGTACTGAATCACTGGTTGCGAATACCACGGAGCTCCCTTTTATACGTTTTAGGTAAGGGGGTGGAGGGGGGGGGGGGGGGTTCTCGAACGCTGACGGATGTTGCTGTAGATTAGAAAATCCGGTGGCCTTATCCAGAGGCGCGGGACTTCACATAGCGTTCTTATAGAAGAGCTCAACCGTAATCTTGAATTCGTGCCAAGTACAGAATGCTTTGAGATGCCTATCGTGGCAGGAAACTTTCATTAGCGGCTACACACGTCCGGTCGTGGAAATAAACGAGGTCTGACGTTCCCCGTACAGAGACGTCTTAAAGAAGATTTCGTCATAAAAAGAAAAAAAAGAAAGAACTTGCCCAGGGTCTCGTGATTGACTGTCGTCCCCGACGCCGTTGTCTGCCCACGCCCTAACTCAATTTGAAAACAGAAACTGGCGTGACTGCCGATGCTTGCTGCGCATGAAATGGTTTCACAATCCTACGGGGGTCTTCTGTCGCGTGACATGTCCTATTTGCTTTGTGTCGAGCGAGCACGCGTGACACTTTAAAGGGTTTTTCTTTCATCGGGGAAACGCCTGCCGTCCTCTGGCTCAGGTTTCAGCACAAATAAACGGGGTGTATGATCGACGCCAAAATTGGCAATATAAATTTTATAAGTAGGGTTATTTTCTTTTATTTTCCTATTTCCAGAGTGCTTCTGCTCCGAAATAGCGCGGAACGTGAGCGCTCAGCAGAACAAACGTCGCAAACAGTTTCTTCTGAGTAATACAAAATAGCGATCCTTTTCTTTGCGATAGTCGATGATTAACATACTTATTACCAGTGACGATTGTTCATATCAAGAATGAGTGTAAAATAATAGCGCGATATATTGATCGCCTAACCCCGTAACGGTCCTTTACTATCTCACAGTACTGCGTCGAGCGCACTAGGGAGACTCAATTTAAACGCGAAATAAAACTAAAACGTTTGTATGTGTGATGTGCTCACAGAAGTAACTTTTTTTTTTTTTTTTTTTCTGGGAGCAAACAAGTGCTACTATAGTAGGATCTGGTCAACTCCTGAAGCGCTCATTTCGAAAGTGGGATTACAAGAATAGACAACCCTCGTTCGCGCGGTGTTTTGTTCCTTTGTATAGCTTTCGAAGGGTAACTATACGCGTTTTCACCTCAAGAAAAAAACAAGTTTCGCGCATTTTTTCATACGCGGCACGAAGTAGATCTTACGATATTTGGGTTGTCGGAGGAAAAACCGATGCTTTTGGCGTTTGAAACGTGTACGTCTTGATACGATAACGTATATCGAATCTAAATTGCCCCTACATATATCTTAGTTCTCTACATAAAGGAGGAAATTGGTAATGCTCCCCGAGGAGCCGGACTTTTCTTTACTGGGGTTCTTGAGGTAAGAATGGGTATAGTTGCAACAAAACAAATCAGACGGCGTTGCCTTTTCCGAGCGCTTCTGTTCCCCATACCATGCATACCTTCTTAAATAAATACGTAACAACCGCACTCCGCCTCCCCTCATTAGTATTAAAATTCAGTCACCCCCGCCTTTTATACGAAGTACAGTCACTGCAAAACGTAAGTTATATAACTCTGCAATACTTGCTTGGCTATAGAAAAGATTCGCTTGCATAAATTAGTGGAATAAAAATACTTAAGCCGCATTTGACTGTGCGAACGTTCATCTAGTTTTGCTCATTAACACACAGAAAAAAGTCACGATGTTTATATTTGTAGTCTTAATGTCCCTTTCCGTGTCGGCATATAGAACTGCGGAGCAGAGTTTTCATAGAGTTGCTGCAGAACGTGCAAAAAATGCAGAAAACATCATCTTAAACCATCGATCCGAGTTGCGAATTATGCTTGCACTGCACCGGCCAGAATGAACGACATGTCTTGTTTTGCATCAGGAATAGTTGAAATATACTAAAGCTCGTGTCGAACCTCGACGCACATCCATGTATCTTTAGATTTTAGTCTGCATTGGATAAAAACTTTCCGGTATTCCAAAAACACCGTCAGTGTCTGCATATAGGCGTATAGTATATAAGAAACGCTAAGACCGAAGAACAGTGCCAGACGCTTGGATGTGTCGTACCATAGCCTCCCCTATACTCTCAAAGCCTGGCCGTTCGACGACGGAGCCATAGAGTGCCCGGTCGCAGATTTGGAGCGCAAGGATCTGGTAGCACAGAGCATCAAAGAGCCATTTCTCGGGGAACCTGGACGTCAGGGCACAGCTTTTGCAGCGGCGAGTACCCGAAACACAATTGTTCGCTCGGGAGAAGTGTGTTTCGACGTCTCGCCGCAGCGGGGCGCCAGTCACGCGTGGCTCTCCTCTCATTCATTGTCTGCCGCTCCACCTTTTTCATTTCGGCGGCCGCTTCTCGTGGCGGTCTGCCAGGCTTTGTCAGTATATAGAAGGATATGGTAAAACAAACGGCCATTCAAGATTTGATAGGAACTTCCCGAAAGCCTCGCTGTGGCCGCTGACCTCTCGCCAAGAGACAGCTTCTTTGGGGCCTCTTAGCGAAGCGTTGGCTGCCACCTTGATTCTTCCAGTAGATTTTACGTTCAACTGTAATCACCGAGAGTTTAAGAAACGCAGAAAGTCGCTTATGTCTTTTCGCTTTTGATATATCGATATGTTACTTCGTATTTTTATTGGCTATTGCACCAATTTGAAGCGCAGCGTAGCGATAATTAGGTTTTTCAAACTAGCCACTCTCGGCGTTTCTTAAGCTATCAGTGACATACCAACTACTGCCTAGCAACGACTGCCTAGCAACTGCCGCCTAGCAACTGCCTAGTGTCTAGCAACTATTGCCTAGCAACTATTGCCTAGCAACTACTGCCTAGCAGCTCCTAGCAACTACTGCCTAGCAACTACTGCTACATTCGTGTTAACTGGTTATCACTCACGGCTTTGTCTTCTGAGACGTCGTTGGGACATTCCGATTTGCTCGCTTCTTCGGAGGCTGCGGCTCGAGAACTGAACGCACTGCCGCACCCCATTTTTGCCTTCTTCGTCGAAATTCCGGAGTCTTATTCTCACTCTTCCCAGGCTCCCAGATTTCGTGCTTCGTCAGAAGGAAGAAAGCGCGAACGGGGTTATACTGCTATTTTGAATTCGGGGGGATCGAACGGGCGCCGGGTTCGATCGACTAGGCCGCGCCGATCGCGCGGCTATGTGGCCCGCAGTCTCGGCTCCGTAGGTCTCTTGTTTGGCGCTGGGTTTCTAAGGCGATGGTGACATGAAAAATGTGCCTACTCAAGCTGAACGGTGTCCTTTTCTGTGCATGGGCGCCTTAGCAAGACAACGGAATAGGACGCTATTCCTCGTGTTTCCGTCTTCAGACAAAACCGGAAATATTATGCCATTCAGCAACTTAAACAATACTTCTAAAAAACAAAAAAACAAAAAAACAATACGTTCAAGGGGATACAAAAACCCAGTGGGCGTTTGCCGCTCTTTTAGGTTGGGGCGATTGAATTCTGGTCAATATCTGCGTAAGCAGCGTGCTGTCTACTGTGTCGAATTTTGAATGGTTGTGGCTTTTCTTAATATATTTCATTTGTGGTGTCTTTTCGAAGGCAAAGGGATCCTTGAGCGATTACATAAATGTGGTTAGTATTATGTTGTTAACACATCACGATCATTTCAATATACTGGGCCTAACAGCATCAAGAGCAGCGTGTATCTAATCTAAAAGTTCTCTGAATATCAGCAGTTGCCCCAACTCAGTAAACGGGGGGGGGGGGGGGGGATGAGGGGAGGGGAGGGGAGGGGAGGTGAAGGGGGAAGGGCGACAAGGAAGAGGACCACTGCTCGATACGAGTTGATGAATATTTATTGATAGCAAAACATGTACAAAACGTAGGAAAGGGTCGACTAGGCTCGTAGCAGCGCGACGACAACAAGCACGCGACACCACGGCGAGTGAGATCAGCTGCAAATAAATTTCGCACGCGTAGAGCACACAGGAACAGTACTGAGCCATGGCCCACGTAGAAAGCTGATTAGGAATAACGCCCACGGAGCATGGACGACACTTTACATCACTTTTACACCAACGTGGGCAATTTCGCCAGTATCCGGTTAGTTGTCTCACACCATAAAACACATTTCAATTAAATAAAAAGAAACTACATACTGCGCATTAATTTTCTTCGGATCTCTTGTATTTGTATTTGACAGTGAGGAGTATACAGTGAAGGTTACAAGCCAGCCGAACATGCCGAACGCTTCCACATGTGGCATATTAATCGATGAATGGGTGAGCGTTTGGGTTGTTCCTGTACCGTGTATCGCTGTTGTTTGTTTCAAAATAGAAGAAATGTTTCCGGACTCCCAGGAACTAGCGGAGTCCATTATACGCTTCTACGGCGCCGCCCCCTCCCCCCCCCCCGAATGATTTGGTGGGCACAGTCGTTTGACACCTTTATTTCTACCCCTCCATATACTGGAGTCAGTAGTTCGAGAATGTTACGACTCCGCACACTGGAATGCTTTTTTTTTACGTTCATTTTGTTACATCTCTGTAGTTCAGCGGCTTTTGTGTTTTAACAAGTCCTATTTTCTATTGAAACTCAATGTATAGGTGTCGTAACTATAATGACGCAATTTTATGTGTGTCGCTTTCAGAGTGCACCCACAAATTTCATCATAACTTCATTCACATTCGAATCATCGAAATTGTTATCCAGTGGCTTTAGAAGAGCAGTAAAACACTGATTTACGAAAAATGACAGCGCTCGCCAAGCAGGTTTAATGGGCATGCCGTAAAATGCATGGGTATATGAGAATGCCGGAAATTTGGGGGAATAATAGGTCGAACACCATTTTAATTACGTTCCACTTTTCGTTACCACTAACGCCACTTATGAGGCGTGGTTTGAGTAATTACTGTCTATGTTATCAGTGAAATTCGGGAAGACATGTTTTGCACTTGGCCCTCATGATGCGGTGTTTCCCTGTTTCGCCAGCCGTTTTGTAAAATAAAAATAGATAGGCTTAGGATAGTTATTCTTTTCTGGGTGACATTTTAAATGGTGTCCATTTTTACTTTCTACAAGAAACATTGGGTTCGAAGGAAGTGTCAAGTTAAGGAGTTTCACTTATATCGAAACTCAGTGTGGTTGGTTTTCTCTAAGCTAATGACGAAGGAGTGTGTCTAGGATCCGGAGCGCTATACTTCCACTAAAATCACCAGCTAAGACACGAAAAAGAGTAGCTAAAAAACAAACAAAGAAACTTTGAATCTATTATTTCACAACCTAACATTCGAAATTGGTCACTTTCTTACAAGGCACTTAAAAAAATAATCACGCCCCCGATTCACTTGCATGAGTAGTTCTGCTTGCTTGGTTGGCGCGATCGAGAAGTAATGTGATGAAAAGGAATAAGTTATCGCCATCCGCGACGCTTCGTTGATCCCACTTGACGAGGCACCGCGGAACATGAAAATCAAATTGTTTCAGGCAGGAGCTTTGACGAAATAAATTTATAATATAATTAGTTTGGTTGGAAACCGTACAGTGAAGAAAACTTAGCACACAGATTGAGTTGCAGAATCCTTCTATACTAAATTAGGGCCCGATTTTGGAGTGTATTTAAAAGGAAACAAAAACCTTTAATTCAAATTGTTCATGGTAGTCCAGTATTCTCAAACGTCTAGCAGTTTTTTTGTGCGAATATATATATTTGCCGATTTCTCAGTCAAACTGAATGGAACACCAATTGAATGACTAGAGTTTTAACTTAATATCAAAGTTAGTTATTTTAGCAGATTTGCGAGCAGAACATAATTTGATTGAACTTTTTTTCCTCCAAAACAAAATGTGCATGAAGTAGATGTCAATGGTGAACGAGAGCTGAGTAGAGTATTTAATGCTTGTGTTTTTGTGGAAGACTGTAATTTTTTAATGCCTCTCATAGCAGTTGACCTGAAAAGAAGTGTAATTGTGAAATGATTGCTAAATGAATGGAGTCAGGTAAGTAAAACTTGGATCTAAACACCTAAATAAATGTTTCCTCAATTTCATCCTTTCTCGCAGTTTTTAACCGTGTCTAATGGATGGTTACCATTGAAGCACATCGCATGGAAAAATTTGAGATATGTTTAATACCGATGTTCTTTTTCTATTATTAGCTCTCAACCAAATCATCCATATGGGAATGAACGCCTGCCTTCTGTTCTAATTTTTAAGTTTAATTTGAAACGGTACCACGATAAATTCTTAATTCAACACCAGACTTGTACGTAAAATCACGCTTATTTTGGTACATGGCGACTCCATGACGATCGCTTCTGTTTCGGTTAGACCACAGGCGTCAGTAAGTTTTTAGTATCTAATGCAGACCTGGTAGCTACGCGACGTACCGAATTGCCTTCTTTTAAAACAAACAATGTTGTCTCAGATACGCGAGAAGAAAACATGTTACGTTTTAAATCGTTATTTACATGCGCATCTGAAGGATCACTTTTACTCCAGCACTTTCTAATTTGTTTATTTCACCTAGAACTTGTGTTTGTAAATTTCGGTATCAAAACGGACAGGCAGAAAATTCGGATCTACAATCCTATTTGCATCAAAGATAAACTAAAAAAAAAAAAAAAAAAAAAAAACTCTACAAAAACAAAACGTTTAATACTGTGCGGTATTTTCTGGCGTTGTAAACTCAGCCTATGTAGGAGGAAGCCCTTAATTGCATATCGTTGTACTTAAAAAAAAAACTTGTAAACGCTTCAGCGCCATAATTCGGAACCATTTTCACGATAAATCGCCCTCCATGTTATAAATTTCAAATCTTAGAGGCCTTACCCTGGAACTGACAGTCACTATATTCCCACTTTTTAAAGCATACCTAACTCTACTTATACTTTGTGCACCCTTAAGCTGAGACTGCAGCCAAAGCTATATAGTCTCAGCTTAAGCATGGCTTTGAGACATGCATTTTCAGCGCGAGTGCTCGTTCTGCGGAAGAACGCTTCAAAGCATTGACTTGGAGCTCTCGAGCTTTTCGCTGCCTCGATAACGTCGCGAGATCATTCTTTCTTGCCCGGGAAAGTTGTTATGTATAAAAAGGCGCTTCGAATAATATCCGAGAATGGTCGACAGACACCTTATTATTATGATGATTATTAAACCAAGGAAACGTTATCAGAGTACGGGTTGTTCACTTGTTCGCGAGCGCTATGGACTGTGTTCTTAGCCGAGGTTAGCTCTACTTGAGCGAGAGGTTTGTTAGGTACATATCAAAATGGTGACTTTCAAGCGTATCATTCGTGACCCTCATTCTAAAATCTGTGCATTCTTCACCTTAGACGTTGTAGGAATTAATAAAAGGATGGAATAACTGAAAAATATGTAGTCGTTTTGGACCCAGTTGATTCGTTTTGTTTCGCTGCTTGGATTCATTGACTCATTTGAGTCACTGTTTTCTTGCACAACCCATAGCTCTCTTGTTAATATGAATGCTCTTTACGACTGAGAAACCATACGCCGACGTCGATTAAGGAACGCACCGATGGCTTTAGTTTCTAAGATTATCGCATTAGCCAATAGAAACGCCGAAGAAATAATCACGAAGAACGTGTGCGCAGTAAGCCGCGCCATGCGTTTGTTAAAGTTATCATTGACTATAGGCATTTTGTCTTGAAGCTTGTAGGTTGTTTCTTGGCGTCGGACCATCTTAGAACATTACGGATTCGATCATGCATAGGATCACCAGGCTTTTCTCGAATACTTATCACAACTTCGGACGCGTCACATAATTGACACACGGGCAAACGGAATACAACCATTCGTCATAGCACATGAATTCAGACTTTGATAGAGTATCATCTGGGGTTCGTCAGTTCGTTTACGTGGACAGTCATTGAAGAACTCGCGTTCCCGTGCATATGGTTTGCACTCGTTACCGTCATTTCGGGGACGCCTCCAGACTCGGGTAAGAGTCGCAGTCACGCCGGCGATCCGCGACGCTTGCACTTCCCCAGCCACTGCACACACTATGTGATTGCGTACGCGTTCATTCCTCCCGTGATTATATGTAAAAGGCGTATAGCCGCAGACATTGCGTTTTTTTGTTCGTATATGGGACGACGGCTTCCGTTGGACTAAGGTGCCTAGAACACGTCTTGGACTGGTGTGTGTTGCGTCCTAAACCTCCAACGGATCAAAAGGAATACCGAAGTGGCAGGAAATGACGTCACAAAAACGGGAGTGTCATATGCTGTCGGATGTCGCGATCCTGGTGGTTAGTTCTAGGGGTCCCGACGAAAGGCACAGGCGAACGGTAAATGTTGCCATCGTGGCGGCCTACCAACTCATGACTGCTGAAGGTTCCGTGGACTGTAATGCTGAAGAGCAACGTGCAGCAGAGCACGTGTCTGTCACGTCCACCACAGATGCTGCAGCTGTGACACCGCCAGGATCGCGGACGGCGACAACATTCAGACATTTATGAAGTCATCATACGGAAACCAAGTGTCCACTTTCTAGGACGCGGTGAACAGACCGGTCGGAGACGCGCTCCAGGCACCGGAGTGCCCATTTTTTTTTATAGACCCTGTTTCGGTGGCGGTTCCGGCACTCCACCACAGGCACTGTCGTGCAGGACTCGACGCTGTTCATCGGGTGGTGTCTTCTTTTTGAGCAAGGTGTAGCAGTCCTCGAAGATCTGCGCAAGAAGGGAAGGAAACGTACGAACGCAGTCACTGCCTGGTTTCGCCAGAGTCATCATCTTATCTGTACATTCATACATTCACAGAAGTCCCGAATATCAATCATGCATCAGCTTTTCTTTTGAGAGCGCAGCTCTTAAGCGCCTGTTTCGGGCTTGAGCGGCGTCCCCGTTGGCATAACCGCGCGTTGCGTTATGGGACGTTTTCCATAATGACGTCACACGTGACGCCACGAGGGTCAGAAGGGGGAGTAGGAGGAGGAGGAGAAAATTTCTTCACTAAGTTTAGCGGAAAAAATTCCCCCGCTAAATTTAGAGAAAAAATTTCCCCGCTAAATTTAGCAGGAAAATTTCAACGCGAAATTTATCAGAAAAAATTCCCCGTTAAGCTTAGCGGGAAAATTTCTCCGCTACAATTAGCGGCAAAATTGTTCCGCTAAATTTAGCAGGGAATTTTTTCCGCTGAATTTAGCGGGAAATGTAGCGAAAATTTTTCGCTAAATGGGACGGGAGCAGGGGAGGAGGAGGGGAAGGGAGGGGCATACCTTTCCCTCCGTACCCTCCCCTTCTCCCCCTCAAGAGCTGCGCTCTAATTCGGCATTAGAGAGAGCTATAAACGTCTTTCAGTTTTTTCAATCGGGTTCGAATGCCAAGTCACTGAGCTGTTGACGCATGCGCGTCGTCCGATGTTCTGCAGGAGAGAGGAATTGCGGATGGTCAGAAGGCGTTCCACAGCCAAGTAAACAAAGATGGCAGCGCACAGGACTATTATCGGAGTAGTCTATAGTCTAACTATGCGCAGCGCAAGTTGGTCTGCTTCTTGCACAGGGATTGCGATCATGTCAGAATGAGGGCAAAAATAGTGAGTAGACCTCGAGGCATGTAGCATCGATCGCGGCGCGTTCACTGTGCGTGATTGGTTCAGTCGGTGACAGCGAACACACAAAGGCGATATAAGCGTAGTGACGATGCACTTTTCGTGCTGTTTGATTGGCTCTATCAGCTCGCGCAGCGTCAGCCGCGGTCCAACTTCGAGTGAAACTACATAGGGTGCCTGAAACGCGTCTCCGACTGGTGTGGTTACCGCGTTACAAAAATGTTGTCACTCGATTTCTGCCTGATGACGTCAAAGAAGCCTCAAGCTGTCGCCGGCCGCAATCCTGGTGATGTCGCAGCAGCAATGGTGGATGCGGCGCAGACGCATGTTCCGCTGCAAGTCGCTCTTGAGCTTGACAGTCTACGGATCGAGACATCCGACAGCGTCACACTCCGGCTCTTGTAACTTCATTTGTTGCCGCTTAGAGACCACTTTCGATTGGTGGGCGGAATAGGAGGCTCAAACACGCCAGTCGGAGACGCGCTCCAGGCACCCTTATAGTGAAAGGGAGTGTAGTGTGACCGGCGTGTACCTGCGGGGCGGGTTCTGCTCCCTCCTCCATGTCCCACGGCACGTCGTAGGCTTCTTCGACGACCCTCCTCCGGATGGTGGTGCGGGCGATGGTCGCGTACTCCCGGTCCGCCCAAGACGGCTTGCGCAGCGTCGTGCTCTGGTAGATGATCGGCGGATCCGCTGAGAGGAAGTTTGGAAGAACGCTATGTGAGTACCCAACAGAGCGCCGAGAAAACTAAGTGCCGGCCTAAGAACAAAGCGCAGCACGTACTGTGCACTCGGCCTGCGATCGTCAAATCAGTATTGCGTCTTTCGTTAAAGGCCACACTCCCAGAAATAGGAGGTGTTGTACTTACACTCTTTGCCAGATATGGCACCCCCCCCCCCCCCCCCCAAAAAAAAAAAAAAAAAAAAAAAAAAAAATCAGTCTTGCATACAGCGCATTGACGTCGAACCGAAGGTACCAACTTTCACGAGAGACTTGATTGCCGAGTGGTACAGCTTATTAAGATAGCTAATGTACGTGTTACTTTCAACAAAAAAGCAGGAAAAAAAAAATAATCGGGGTTTTATTGGTTTTGTGCAAAACCTCAGTGTTATTCTTTTTTTAGTCTTTGATACATACTTTAGCTGTTTAATAAGTTATATTGCAACGTTATGAAGTCCCTCGTAAAAGTTGGGGCCGTCAGTTTGACGGCAGTGCGCTAAACGTCGAACTTAAGTTTTGGGGTGCGTTGTATAGGACAAATGGGTGTAAGACTACACCCTTTTTTAAAGATGCAAAATCTTTAATGTACATCGCGCAATACGGATTAACAGTGCTGGCTGAATTATTCCTTTATGGTGTTACGCTGAAGTTTCATCAAATATCAAGGCCATAAACATTCACAGCGTTCAGGTTCTGTAGTTATTTTTTGCTTACGGGAACCGAATGGTCGGCAGCTTTTCCCTAGACGACAAGAACAGTAAGGTCCCAGAAGATGGCCAGACAAGTAAAATTTGCAGTAAAAAGAGTAACCTGAAGGAAGCTAACATTTTGTTGACGGTCTCTGCCATATGACGCCACGCACATTGAATGTTTGGACAAAGAAGTAAAACGTGTGTACGCTATTGTTTTTCGTCTTTAAAATTGAGTTCCTGAAATGTTTTAATCCATAAAAAAGAAGAGATAAAAAGAGCATTAGAATGAACCAGGCTTGCCAACTTTCAATCATCAATCTTTTGGGAATATGTACAAAATAACGTTGTATAAAGAAAGCTAATAATACCTACGAAAGCTGCGTTTGGAGATTTGTGTTTGTCCTTTGTCCCCCTCGTACCCCTTCCGCAGCGATTATTTTTGTCATTCTTGTCCAACTCGCTTGGACCTTTTCATTTCATTGCATTATAATCAGTACCTAGTGCTTTCTTTACATCATAACAGACTATTTATTACAGTATACCAGAGAGGCACCAGGGTGTGGCGGTTCGAATTAAGGTATCTCGCAGACCAAGGATCGTGAATTCCAGGCGAATGCAGCCCGCTATAGGTTAAGAAAAAAAATCTATAGCATTTGTTCCAAAGCTGTGTTTAACGCGCCATTATTAATGGATACCGAAAGACTGGCCACTGCAAACGCACTGTATTATTGCCGAATTTCCCCTCCAGAGCAGGTACATAGGACGCTACCTAGACGAGGTTAAAAATGCTCACACAACATGTTCGATGCTTTCCTTCAAGGTCACACCTTCTCAATACGCACCCTTCTTTGACACGATCTTTTTGTAGAAGACGTAGGCCACGGCCACCGATGAGACGATGATGACCAGCGACGCCACCACGGGAACCAGAACCTTAGCTTCGAGCAGGTTGAATCCGGTCGCCGTTCCGTTGCTCGTGGACGCCGGCTCTGCGCGGACACGAAGCACACCTCAGAAATTGACGCACGTTCGCCCCACAAATTCACCCAACGAACGTAAGTAAACCTCGATTCTCAATATTTTAGTTGAATGTACCGTCTCACAAAGAAGCTTGCGGTGTTGTGACGCATAAACTTAATCTATGCGAGAAGTATTTTTTGTTTGCTTATTATACAAGTTATTAGAAGAACTTGATCTTGGCGCTTTACGTGCCAGATCAACGCGGGTCATCTGGCACACACCAGTGAAGTACTGAACGTTAACTTAAGTCACCCGTGGCAACTCTCGACGTGCGACCGATATTTCAGTTACCCGGTGCCTTCTCCAGAATAAGCCCCCGTCAGTTTGCAGGTCGGGGATTCGAGTCTGCTAATATTGTGACACAAATAGTCACATTTCGCCGTATCTGTCAATGACATCTTAATAGCGTTTTCTTCGGAAATCGCGATATGATTCTCGGTACTTAAACGACTTCACCAAGATTTACCTACCCAAAACCGTAATCATGTGCGACGATTTAGTCACGTATTACCAAAGCATTTTTTTTTATTGCAGTCATGTGTCCGTTAACATAAGACCCCCACTCACCTCATAATTATGACGCCAAAATGCACGCGTATTTAGAGTGTTCGTCACCGAAACTTTTGTCTACACCGTACAGTAGGGCATTCATGCTTTTGGGGTTCATACCAACGAGACATCACGTGATCGCTGTTTTACCTTCCGAAGTGGTGGCGAAGCTGACAGGATCGGAAGGCTGGCCCCTGCCGTGCATGTTGTAAGCGGCCAGCGTCACTTCGTACGGGGTCTTCCTGTCCAGGCTCTCCAGGCACATGGAGCGTGTGTGAGAGGGAAAGTAGATGGAACGCCAGGCACCGCCGCGGGCTCTGTAGTCCAGCACGTATTCTGCGTGTCCAAAAACGGGTGCACTTAAAGATGCTCTTATAAGAGTAGACTCTCCTGGAGCTCATCTCTTTTTTCTTTTTTAATTCTAAATGTGGTGTCTTCACTACGTCTTACTGCAACACTCCGAGACTGTCTTTTCCTTTTTATGTGCTCTTTTTCCCTTCACATGTGCTCCAAGGTTAGCTGCGAAAATTAGGCCTATTCAAACTCCCACCTACACAGCCTGTGAAATTCTTTTGACATAAAATCAGGAATACCTGAAGCCCAAAGAAGAAAGAATATATCTACACATTTTTTTACAGATTTAGGTGATATTGTGGCACTGCAAATAGCGTGATTTTACAGATAGGGCTCGACCCAAACCACTTCAACTAAATATACATCAGTTTTCCATGTTCAGACACTGTCATTTATTAAAAGATAAGCGACTGGGTGGTGTACTTATTTTTGTTTTGTTTTTCAATACCAAAGGACCGACTTGCCTTCATCAAACGTTACATATAAAACAGTCTTGTTTTTTTACGATTAGATAACTTTTAATATTGGTAGTTTAACCAGAAAGAATGCAATCTTAATACAAATAGATTTGTATATTCTATTTCGTGTAAACAAGAACTAATTCAAGTCAGCTGTGCTGCTACAAATTTCTAGAATATTACAAGGAACACTTGGTGTTTATTTTTATTCATATACTACTATATATATCTATATCTATATATATATATTAAATGTGTGACCTCTTCCAGACAAAGCGAGAAACACGCATGCCTAATGAAACTGTTGCAATTAGCGTACTTACGTGTTAAGCTTCTTCTTTGGCGCTCCTTTATAGCCAGCGTAGCCGAGCAACATGTCACCTGCGTTACCGAGAACGGAGGTGCCTCAGGCAGATCTGGTAAAAGAGATAAGCGCCATGGTCACAAACAAACCGATCAGTAAGTAAACTAAAGACACTCAGTTGCGTTCAACACTGTGACGGAAGGCTATAGCAAAACGACGGTTCAACGTTTTCTACAGAACGTTTTAAAATCGCTTCTCGTATAGCACTGCATCCAGCGCGTCGTTGAACTTTAAAATTAGTTAAAGGGGCCCTCCGGAGCGTTCTGCGATGGTCTATTTACAGCGGTAACTCAATCTACAGGCCCTAAGGATCCTAAAGATCATACAATTACGGTCATGCGGGGCGGATTTCCCAATTAAAAATGCTATCAAAGTCCTCGGCACGCCCCCCTTTCTGAGATGACCCCGGAAAACGGCAGGGACATCTCTTTACGCGTCAGCCAATAGTAAGCGAAGGATTCCGGCGTCACTGCGCGCCACCGACGCGGCCGACCGCCGACCCGCGGAGGAATCTCTCGAACACGCACGGACCGTCGTCAAAGGGCCCGGACTTTGTGCTCGGCAGTCGTCGTTCGCCGCACCGCAACGTCGCGCTGCTACTGCAATGCGCAGTCGCATTCCACAGATGACAAGGAAAAGTTTGGCTCTTTGATGTGGAAGGATCGCAAAGCTGGCCCCGGAGTCGGGATCCACGGGAAGAAGGAACACGTGTCCCGCAAACGCACGCCTGCAAACGCCCCGGGAAGCAGACGAGCCGACGCGCCGACGCATCACCCCCTAGCAACAAGTTTGCGGGGAGAAAACATAGTTCGCTGGTTTTGGAGCGATAATTGCGCGCTATTTTCCCGCACCACGATCAGTTTACGTTTTTCTGAAACTCTAATTTACAACAAGCTTAAAAAGTGTTGCAATAATAACTTTCGCATTCACCGCGAGATGCAGCATTTTCATTGGTCAAGTTTTAGCGATGGACAGGCAATGGGGGATTGTCCTCCAAGAGAAAATAGTCCCGATATATTTCTACCGCCATCTGCTTAATAAACGGTTTTGTAATCTAAAACTTTGTATGCATATTAAATTGCACCTACTACGCAATATAACAACATAGACAGACGATCGCAGAAAGCTCCGGAGGGCCCCTTTAAAGTCGCTGGTAGATTTTTTTTATTTCCTTCTTTTTTGTGTAATCATATTTTGAGCTCTGACCGTTTCTGGTGTCCTTTTATCATTCGAACGTAATTGGCTGTCTCCGTGTTTTGCAAGAAAGTTAACTTCACCAATTCGTTTTTTTTTTAGAGTGTAATGGTGGATGTTTAGAGTGCAGTATATACACCAAATCAACTCTCTGACGTCACGCAACTGCGGTGGCGCTGCTGTCGGCACTGCGCATGCGCAGACGGTTCACATCCCGTGAATCTAGTTTCTTGTTTGTCAACAACGTGTCCCGTTCTGGCCACTGACAATTTAAGAAACGCAGGATAGCTAGTTCTGAGTATCTCATTATCACTCCGCAGCCAATGAGATTGCACCAATGAAATCATAAAGAAACATGCGTAAACATAACAAACCACACCCTGCGTTTCTCAACTTTGCAATAACCATAGAATGAACTATCGACCAGTTTGTGCAAGTTTAAGGTTGGGTTGCGCTGTCGTTTTTTTGCTGCTGCCGTTACCTTCTTCGAGCGTGGTCAGGACAAGTTGGTGAGAGGACGGCCCCGGGCCGGCCGCGTTGAAGGCCTGCAGCACGGCGGAGTAGCGGGTGTTTAGCTGGAGGCCCTGAACCAGAGCTTGGCTGCTGTCGCTGCCGGTGACCGTCTGGTACGTGTACGGAAGCATCGGGGAGTCGTAGAGCCGGTGGCCCACGTAGTAGCCCTGGATCTTGCCGTTCTGGTGGTCTTTCGGCGGAGCCTTCGCGTTCAGAAAGTCAAATGGAACGATCGGCTTAAAAATAACAAAATCCCTTAAATTGAAAAAAAAAAAAAAAAAGATCTAACGTGTTTTTGTTGCGGGTATGCTTGGACAGACGCTGATTTGTGCACACAACAGGACATGCTTAAACCCTGTCAAATACTAACGCGTCAACATTCCACAGAGGTACAAGAAGACAATCTGTTTTATCTAATTACGGGCCTCCAACATTGTTCAGAAGTGAAGAAATAGGGAGTAAAAGAGAGAGAGAGAGAGAAAGAAACAAGTGAGAGAGGAAGACAGAGTAATGAAAGACGAAAGAGAAATAAGATGTACGCTAGGGCACAAGATATCTAAAATGTTATCACGTGTCGCACTGCACATATATATTTATATATTTCTTTGCTTGTTTCTCCACATGCCCTGTGATGTAAGCATGTTTCTAACTTTTGACACGTCCTTTAATCAGTTATTATTAGAACTGTCTAAAATTGAAACCAAAATCTCATGCCTGATGGTGATAATGATTTATAGAAAACTCCTGTCGTTTAGGGGGGGGGGGGGGGGGGGGCATAAAGAAAAGTGGCCCATCAACTTACCTTCCACTCAATCTTGAAATGCGTGCTACCGAGTCCAGATATTCGAACATCTAATGGGGACGCTGTTGGTGCTGCAGTGAAAAACAAAAACGGCGAACAGTGTGTTTCGGAAGAAATCAAAACTGTGAAAAGTTGCTCCTAAAGAGCTCTCAAATTCAGCCTTCTGCTTACAGCATGCTTGAAGCCGTGACTGTACATAGCGCTGATACATGAGAGTAGATTGACGTAAACTTGTGCCTTCGTCAGCATGATTTTGATAATTAACTATAAGTTCGTACAAAATTACGACACATGGATAAGCTGGAGTAAAAAACATTTGATTGAAACATGTCAAGTATAACTTATCAAAATTGCTACTATATCAAGTATCCGTCGAGAATGACGCCTGGAGGACGGCGTCTAGGAAAGCCTCTAGAACGGCGTCAAGAACGACGTTAAGACGACTTCTAGGACGACGTCGAGAACGACGCCTAGAAGACAAGGTCTAGGATGGCTTTTAGGACGACCTCTAGGACGACCTCAAGGACGACGCAAAGGACGGCGTCGTCCTTGAGCATACGATTGAGCGACACGGGCTTAATGACGTATTTTTATATCCATCTTTTGGGCACAACGACGCCGTTTTTTCGCTCAATGAAACAAGTAAGGCTTTCGCCTTAAAAAAAGTTTTCAACTCCAATTCTCACGCTGCAAGGGACGAGAGACAGAAACACAACCGACCGAGACATATTACCGAACCCAGTTTAAACTTTTGCTTAAACAATTACACGAACAATAATCGTCATCATTATCAAGCTTGACATATGCGCATAATCATCATCATCATCGTGCTTGAACCATACACATCATCAATATGCTTGGCCCATACCCATCATTGTGTTTGAATCAGGCATAACCCATCATGCTTGACACATCGTCATACTTGACTCATAATCACAATCGCCATGCCTAACCCTGTTAAAATAAAAAAAAAGAGGGTAAGTGTTAAATGACGGCAAGCAGTTCTTGGGCATCACGGGCACCCAACGTACATAACACCGTTCTCGCTGTAATTGATGCTAATTTCTAAATGACTGGTCTGTAACTGCGTCGGGAGAAAGGCGAACCCTAACCTTCTTCGCTCGTTGTGAAGTGGAGCGGTGTCGAAGGTCCGCTCATCCCGACCCGGTTTTCGGAGAGCAGGTAACCTCCGTATGCCGTTCCGGGTAGAAGGTCGCTCAGGTAGACGGACGTCTCGGAGCCCGGCACCGTGATCAGCGTCAGCTTCCGGCTTTGTGCTGGAGGAAGTGGAGATTCCAAACGAACTTAATAATTCGTAAACATCGCAGCGTTAAGTACGTAAAATGAAAAACAATGAAATAGTATCCGCGTTAGTAAAACAAAGGGAACATAATATTTGCATTAACTTGTGCCTGAGCCTTCCTCAACGCGATGCTAACAAATGTGTCATGCTTTTAAAGCTGAGGAATTTTGTGTTTCTTACCTTAGTGAGTATGAATCAGAGTACAGACATACAAATTAGCAACCAAAAAGGAAAAGGTATAATTTAAGTTTTTTCGGTATGTCAAATCTTTTCAGCCTCCGCTAAAAAAACGTAGCCGACGGTGTGGTTTGGTACATTAAAATGCTTTTTTTATGCACTCCACTATAGGTAATACATGCAAGGGAACAACATCCGTATGAATTCCATTTTGGTTAATTCGAAAATGGCATCCACTAAATAGCAAAGTTTGACTGATCTAACACTCAATGAATCAGTAAGCTGGGGTGACAACCTCACCCAACTCCTTATTTCCAGAAGTCTTACAAATAAAACCGTCAATGATTGCGGAAAGGTGCTCACATACTAGATGGCATCTCTATACGCTGCCATTTGTACGTGCGACAGCCGACAAAACTAAATGTCCTTGAAAAATCATCCGACCATTCTTGATGGGGTGTTAAAGTGCACACCCAATGTACATGCAATACACGGCGTATAAGGATTGCACTCACAGTTTTCTTTCCAGAACCGAATGTGAAACGTGTTGACCTCCGAGTAGGGGGCCTGCCAGGTAAGGCGCACGGTTCGGCTCCGGAGGTCAGAAACTTTGATGCCCACAGGAGGGGATGGAGGCTCTGAAAAGATGAGAACAACTTTAGAGCCGAACCACAGGAATGATGGGTGCTTGTTTAAAATCGGAGAATAGAAATGTCCATCCCTATTCGCAAATCACTTTGCATGCTCTGCAGAAGACCTTAATAAAAAGAAACCCCTTGTAAGTTTTTAAAAGGTAGCCGACGTTTTCCGTAACCCTCTTATACACTGTTCCTAAAAACAATTGAAAAAAAAAATCTTGGACTTTTAGAAAAGCTTAAAGCGGCGGCTGAACGACGTCCCCCGTTTCCCTGCACGGTTTTGGCCATGCACGGTCAAAGCGGGAGACCGGCTTTTCTACGAGACGCGGCCCGGAATAGGGGCGCCAAGTAAGTAAAGTTTTCATTCATTCATTCATTCATAATCTACAAGGACAGACATTTAGCTCCTTCAGACACCCAAAGAAGCGGAATATTTTAGCGTTACGTCGATTGCCACTCTGCAGTTTGCAAATCCTTCCTTTTCAATGTCGTCCAAGATGTGTTGTCCCGTCCCCTGTTTTTACGTATATAACTCTTTCTAAACCTATATATTCAACAACCATCGCTCGTAGGTTGCAAAACTTTCACGTAAGTCTACCATATTGTTCTGGGCGGTTTTTTTTTTCGAGATTCATACAGAGTTGTATAAGTATAGCTACCAAGCACGAAGAGCTTCATGAGCACCGTCGCGTTGCCGAACTTGTTCGAGACCTGGCAGGTGTAGGCCCCCGTGTCTGAGGAGGAGCTGTTCTGGATGAGCAGCTCGGAGATCACTCCTCCTGGCAGATTGCGCTCAATCACGTCAAACCTGGAAACAAAACGACGCACGAGTGTGCACCAGGTAGAAACATTTAGAACCATAGTTAGCATACTATTATATAGTCACTGCGGCTGAGAGCGGGTATGGCTAATTTTGACAGCGTTAGTAGTGCTAAAGCCACGCACTGACAGTTCTAAGAAACGCGTGGCGTGGCGAGCCTCGATCATCTCATTATCACACCTCAGCCAATGAGACTGCGACATTTGCCGATAGCGAGATCCAAGAACCAATCACTAAGCAGAAAGGCGGGAACATAATGGGCCGCACTCTTTCATTTGTTCTGCTATCTGCGTCTATACAATATCAGTTTCTGCCCTATGAGAACCAGATGATCACGGATGGCCATACTCTTTCATTCTTAAGCTGTCAGCGATGAAGTCTTGTATATTTTTTTTTCTGGCGAAGCATTGTATCCGTACCCTTCTCGAAGTGTTCCTTCGTAGGGCCTCTGGTCTTTTGTCCAGCGCACCGCCAGGGGACGATCGCCGGTGGCTTCGCATTTCAAACGTACACTGTGACTTCTCCTGACTGTTGTCACTTCAGCCCTTTCGAGGATCTTCGGAGGCGCTGAGTAAGAAGAAAAAAAACAAAAAAACATTCAACCAGCGGCGAGGATGAGAATACAAGTCAATTGATTTCAAGTTATGATATCATAAAGAATAAGTGTAGCTAAGCCCGCTACTGGTATAATTTTTCATTTTCTTAGCTATACAAAATGCGCAGTGTTTCCAGAAATGGTGTTTTCAAGTCACTAATGGTTTTATAAAACTTGTAATTATAGCGAATTTATTTAATTTTTCATTTGTTTAACTTGTGGAGACATAGACAACGGCGTTTTTTATGTTTGTAAATAAACAACAAAAATAAACTATGGTCAATAAATTAGAATAACTACTCATACGAAAAAAAAAAAAAAAAAACCAACACGCACATTATCACACATGCATGCATACGAAAAAAAAGAAAAAAAAGAAACCCAGATGACTGAAAAAAGAAAGTACAGCGCCAGTCCTGTCGTCTATGTTTTCTTTTTTTATTGTTCTTGTCTCATAGCCCTGTTCTTTCCCCTAATATTCGAAACAACTACCAACTAGCTCAACTCTCTACCTTAGTAAATCGCTTAAAGCCATCCTTTGTCTACCTCATCTCTCGCTGTTAGTTCTTTCAAGTGCATCTTTATATTCAGAAAGAACGGCACGTATGTACAACACGAACAGCGCTTTAAACAAGGACAAGTATAATGTGTGGATAGGACAGGTGCACGTCCTCCCTACTCCTTCTTGCCCTTATGAATTCCTATATTGATTTTTTGAATGTCTACTGAACTAGCACATTAAAACATATTAGAAATACTGTGTCGGTTCGAGTCTATTTACAGAAGGATGACACGTGCTTCCCAGCTCGGTCAAGTGTTGTGAATGCTCACAGCTAATGGAGAGTGCGATGACTTTGGAGAGACCGTTGCCGTGACCGTTGTTCACGTCGCACCTGTAGTGACCGGCGTCGTCTGTCCGCACGGACCGGATCTGGAGACTGCCGTTGGGCGCCATGTTGTAGCGGTCTCCCACACGGATGAGCTCAAAGTCCTTGCCGTCTGCAAGTTTATCGCCAAAGAAAGCAAAGCCAAAAGGTTATGTCATCTGGCCGAGTTTCGTCATCTGACCATCTACACCTATGTTTACTTTACTTTTTTTATTTTTAAAGTTATAGTATTAGATCGGAACCCTCCACGAAGCTTTCTTGCTCGTGTTGGTCTCACCGCATGACGCACCGCAGTATCACGTGTTGGCCTGACTCCACGTCACAGTGCCACATTACGTGATGGTGTCACGTGACGTCATGATGTCACGTGGTGCCACAGTGTCACGTGATGTGACGTCAAACCTTTTCCGCTAAATTTAGTGGGAAAATATAGTTAAGGTGCGAATGCCTAGGACAGGCAGTTTTTAGGGCGCAGCTCTTAGGCGCTCGTTTCCGGGTTGAGTGGCGTCGCCGTCGGCGTCGGCGTCGGCGTAACAACGCGCTTTGCATTACGGGAAATTTTGCCGATAAATTAAAAAAAAAAAAACAATTTCCGCTAAATTTAGTGGGTGAAATTTCCCGCTAAATTTAGCGGGGAATTTTCTCGCTAATTTTAGCGGGGAATTTGACATCACTGACCTCAATACCAATTCAGTTTCCCCGCTAAATTTAGCGGGAAATTTAGCAAAACTTTCCCGCTAAATGGGAGGGCAGCCGGCGAAGAGGAACGGAGGGTACGGAGAGGGGGGGGGGGGGGGGGGCGGAGGGGCATACCCTGCCCTCCTCCTCAAGAGCAGCGCTCTAAGTAGACATTACAGAGAATTGTAACATCTTTAATTTTTTTTTCTTCCTTTAAGATAGTGTATTTTAGAAATTCCAGACAACGCGCTATGTATAGAACTTGTTTTTTCAAAATGGGAAGGATGCCAAATATTTAGACACTGTCATTCGGTCGCTGGCGGAGTTACAATATTGAGCCGATGACATAGTCAATAGAACTCTGTGTACCAAAGTAGTATGTAACCACCCCAAGTGTGAAAAGAAGCCCTGTCTTTTTGTAGGAGCTTGACATGTAACGAAGCAACGAGGATAGCCGTTAGATACATATAATGACTGAAAATGAAAAGTTGGAAACAGTATAAAGCATAGCAGAAAAAAAAAAATACATTGACGAGAATTTGGTCATCTTCAGCTTCTAGACGCCATGTTCGTGTATATCATCACGATTAACAGGTAAGCTCATAACACCGGCGCGAATCTATTGGAGAACCCGTACACGCGCTTTTTCACCTTCATTGAGCTGCTTACTCATTCGCCGCCAGGCCGCGAAACGTTTTCTGAACATTCAAATAGAAATACGCTTTCCGTTCCTTTCCTCTTCAATTTTGTTTTCACATATTTGCCACTAGCGTTTGCTCATTCGCATTTGGGTACGAGTACGGCACGCTGCGCTTATTTCAACTGCCAATTGACACACAGGTGGCTAGATTTTCTAAGAGCTGGGATACATTTACATGGATATGTTCTCCATCGTTGATATATGTCCATTGAGCAAGGAGGCGACAGAAAGTCAATTCTTTATTGGTTGCTAAGCTTTACAATTGAAATTTCTTTTTGAAGTTTTTAAGACCTTCGACAACAGCTCGGTTAGAAATTTCTCTTCAGGTATCTAAGACAACGAATGGTCAGCATACAGGGTACGCACGGGACTCCATTTTGTTAATGGTTGTTATTTTCGGCGCAAGCTTGAAACTAGTTCTAATTTAATGTCTACAAGAAACGCCAATTCTGACTGGGTAAAATGCAACGCTGAACGTGCATTATCGTGCATTTCACTCAAGTAAAATATTTCTTTCTGTGCAGTAGATAATCGGGGTTTTATTTAACCATCGCTGTGAACAACGAACGACCAGCCATGCGGCGTCCCATGAATACCCTTAATAAGTCGTTATGAAAAGAGCGCGTTTACATGACAGTCTTCTGTCGACTCCCTTTTTCAAAACCATACCGTTGGGCAGGGTTGAAACCGTCACTCCCTTAGCCGTTCATTTCAGCTTTGATGACACACACACACACACGCACACACACGCACACGCACGCACACGCACATGCACACACACACACACACGCACACACACACATAAACTATTTGTTTGTTTCTAAGGCAGTTTTTGGCCGATACTCGTGGTCAGTCTGTGCCACCAAACGATCCCGAGTCCGATCCGAACGCTGACGCGGAGCGTCTGTGCTTGTAATTAATCTCACTGTGATAATTTCAAAATTCTAGCGCGCAGGTTTTTGATTATTCTATAGATAGTGATAGCCGAGCCCGACACCAATCGTCCATCCGCACAATGATTGGACACGAGGCACAGCCGAACGCCGACGCAGCACCCGTGACCAATCAGCGTTTGCGCTCAACTTCCGTGTTATGACGTCAAGCCTCTAGCGCACAGGCGTTGATTTTTTTAGGTGCATGGTGTTGGCACAGACGTGGTGTTGGCTAAATACCGAGTTGTGCGGCAAGCAAGCCGTGCAAAGCGCTGACCTTGAGAGTCGATTCAGTTTGAGTATCCTTCATAAGTCGACTAACACACTATTTTCGGCTCCTGGTGTTGCTGCATGTTTACCCTCTCGCAGTAGCAGAAGACCGAGAGGTCTACGGGTATGTGTGGTACGTTGAGTGCCGCAACATTCCGCACCTGTTTCTCTGCTCCACTGGATGCTTGGAATGGGATATCCGAAGGCGTTGCAGTGCATGACGACGTTCGAGCTGGTTGACGCAGACGTGTCCTGCGGTTCGTTCGTCCAGCTAGGTTTCACTAGTGGAGCAAAGTGGAACAAAGGCTTTTGTAAGTAGAGAAAGGTATGACATAAAGTTTTTCACATACTAGTGGTTTTAGCAGCCCTAGAGGAGCCGGCGTCTCTCATTTTTGAGGATCACTTACAAATCAAGTAAGGGTACGTCCCATTAAGAACACGCGTTTTCGAACTAAGGGGAATCTGCTTGTGTTTTTTTTTCCTTTGTCAGTATCTCACTCAATCTTTTTCGATTCTGCCGTGAGAAAGTCAACGGATGCTAGTGAATTTAAGTTATTTATTAATTTTTTCTGGATGTCTTAGGATTTATTGTTAGGCATTTATGAACGCACTGTCACAAGATTGGCTTTTCACTTGATATTATAGCACAAGACAGATATTTAATATATTGCATAACTTAAAGGGCAACTCCGCTTCTTTTCCAGTAGTGCAAAACTATACAGTTCTCTTTGTTATCATCTACAAAACCCCCATGGCAAATATTACGACGGAATTCCGCCTAGAAGTTCATTAAAATCGCTGTCAAAGTTTGACAAGCACGAATCCGCTGGTTTTGGATGAGACGTGCGGGCCAGACAACACTGCCCGGCTGCATTTCCGCTTCCTCCAAATTCCTTCTACCGGCACGGCCGTGACGTCATCAAGCATGTACAGCTTCTTTTTTTTCAATTTTGTTTTCTTTCCCGGGGAGAGCACGGGTGGGGCCTGCGCCGTGCTCTCCCCGGAGAGGGAAGCTGCTTTTGTAAGAATTTTGAGTGACAGGTTAATCTTCTATAATCTTCTGGGGGGAAAATAGCGACGCCTGTGCTAATCCAGGAGGCACAAAGGAGGATCCTGATAAGAGGGGAGCTCCTTCTTCTCATTGTATATCACGTGGGCGTACATGCTTAGTGATGCCGAATATACAATGTTGTCCGGCTTTGCCACCGTTTCGGTTTCGGTTTGTGATCATGGCTAGAGTAAAATTACACGAAAAATATTTTATTTTTCGCGAAACAAAGGATTGGGGATTGTTTTTGAGTGCTTTAAAAAGCAAAATCGGCCACTATCTCAAAATTTTTGAAATTAAGCGGAGTTGCCCTTTAAAATGCGCCAAAATCCACGGGATATTAATTACATTAATATCACGTGGATTTATGTAATGATATAAATCACTTCAGTTTTTTTTATTAAACAGTAATAACACGAACAGTGACACATATTTGCGCGCTTCAATATGTTGATGATATTTGTTCGCTCATTAATCCCTCCCTCTCCCCCTTTTTCTCTCTCGCGCACTCAAGTAAATTCTTTTGTATAAAAGAAGCCTGATATGATTCATGGCTTTCGCACTCAAACACGATCTGAATCTCGGAAGCTCCAAGGTTTGGTCTTTCGTCTCTGTGTCTCATGATAACCCACTATTCAAGTTTTATACGTCTACTTCTAGACTTCTCCTTGCTTAGATATGTGTTTTCGAGTGTTTCTTCTTTATCATTCTTTAGACTCAAATGCCCTTTTTGAATTTTTGATTTATTTTAGACTTAAAGCGCTTTATACATGAATTCGTGTTCTTGGTGCCTCGGCAAGGCGGTGGAACAGAGAATGCGCACATGCTTGGAACTTCCACAACACGAATATCCGCGCATGCACACTACCCGCAGTTGCTGCGTGGATAAGCACGTGTTTGTAAGTCATAAATAATGGGTTTGTGTACACTCTCCGAAGCTGCCATGCGTGTACCGCCCCGCGGTGCATTCCGAAGACCACTAACCAGTGTTTATTTAACCAGTTTAACCAGTCAGAAGGACGATCGGTAGCTCTCCCCGATGCTTCCTACCGACTCAATGTCAGTAAGCCGTTCACACATTTGCCTCAGAGCCCGTACGGCCATCGGGGCACGAGACGCCCATCGACTTTCTTACTGGTGAGATTATTGCCGAATCAATCAAAGAACGACCACCGATTATTGGTGTTCCGAGTGCACCTCGGTGCAGTACATATCTAGAGGCTTCTGAAAGTGTATACAACTATAGCGTACACCTAAACTTTCAACTCGCACACTCCTGGTGTACGCTTCGATCGCCCAATTCGAAAAAAAAAAAGTATTTTTTAGTCAGAAGTCCGCGCTATGGGACACCGAGTACGTGAGTGCTCACTGCACAGCTAGTCAACCTTACATCGCAAAACGTTCGATTAAAGTCGCGGACACACTGCGAATACACCAGACACTGTTTGGGGTCTGAGGTGTGTTTCTGCTTTGTGTGTCGGTGTTGTCCCATTGGTCCTACAAGAACTGTCTACAGACTTGTCAAAAGCATACATATGTATGAAAGAAGCGTGCTTTGACCGTGCATAAGGTGTGCGCGGAGACTACTCTGTCATTGTGTTTGAAATGGACACCGTGTCTTTTGTTTGATGTGTGACCATGGCTCTATAGGGAGGTGTCTGGACGACCGTGTTTTCCTCGATGCTTACCATCCACGTAAAGCTTGACGGTGTAGCTGTCGGAGCCGGCCGGATTGCGTACGGAGCAGGTGTAGTTGCCGATGTGCTCCCTGGCGATCTTGTCCACGACGAGGATGGACTTTCCCTGGAAGCTGACGAAGCTCCCCAGCTTGTCCTCGGGTCGGATCTCCCGCCCGTTGTGGTACCATGTGAAGGTCACTGGTAGGGACCCTCTCTTGAGCGAGCACATGAGGTCCACCTTTTCCCCCAGGTTCAGGTTCGAGTCCACGTACATCTTGTGCATCTCGGGAGCTTCTGAACGACGCCGAAAACAACAACAACAACCGATTAGATATTGTTACAGAGGGGATAGCGATCCATGGGCTACGCTCCGTTGTTTTAATAATATAATAAGATGACCTTATTTGGACAAATGTGTAGGAGGAGGGAGCAAAAGGTGATTTGAATCGCCTGACTAGGCTCCACCCCCCTGTACAGTCCAGCAGCAGAACACACAGTGAATCTGTATGTTCTTATGCTTGGTAGAAGAGCATGTTGGCTTAAGTCATGAATGAAGAAAGAATAAAACATTTAAAACAGGGAAAACATAACCACATCTTTCATATGAAAGATGTGGCTGTGTTGTCCCTATTTTAACTGTATGTTGTGTTCCCGTGTACAGTCTCATAATTAAATTTGAAGCGACAAAAGCCACCAATCCAGCGACTCAAATGTGGTACCGAAACAATACACGAGGCGGCATACGGTTGGACAGCACTCCTCTCGAGAAGAGCTGTCACGTGTTTTGCTTTGTCCATCTTATTGGCGAACGGGGGCCGCAGTGCTCGCCTGTTCGCCCTCAGTGTATAAGAACGATGATCGGTCATGAAATGTCAGCTGCTAAAAGGCGTACACCTTGTTTGCCACGACACCGTATAGCCGGGGTCACACGCCTTATACATTATACAAAAGATAGTCTGGCAGGCATCAGTCACCGTGATTACCGATGTTAACATGCCGCGTGCCAAGTTTTTCATTGAACTCTTTGCCATGCGGCATTCGAAGCACGGATCTCGTGGTGGCTCCCGTTCGAACCTGTTTTGCAGACTGTCTTTTATATGATGTATACGCTGTGTGACACCGGCTTGTGACTTTTGAAGCCCGATATTAACCACACATCTCATTGGCTTAACTAATAAAAGGATGACCGATGATTGGTGCTCCGAATACTTGGGGTGTTCTATTCATTGGGGGGGGGGGGGATATTGAGAGTACAAAATGTTGTATACATTCGCTTAAGACACGAAGGGAGCGAAGTCTCCCCAGCATATTTATATTGCTCGGCAGCCAATGACATTAAGGCAAGGGCCGATTAAGCCTGCCGAAGATTGATTCACGAAGCAAAGAGCGTGAATGTAATAAGCCACGCCCGACGTTCCTTTTGTTGTCATTAATTTTAACGCGCATACCCATTGACAACATAAAAAAAAAACACAGCCTGGTTTAATGCGTTTATGCTTCTTGTTTTGTGAGTAATTCTTCGCCAACCCTATCCACTAATGCCGTAAATCCGATTGACTGCGGAGTGATAATAAAATGCTCGGAACTTGCCACGACTCCGCCCAAATTAGATGGCTCCAGCAAACAGGGCAGTACAAAAATTAAAAACAAAAATGGTCGGAAACTTTGCCGTTTACCGGCTGCAGTTTGAAAGGCGTTGCCATGCGAAGCTTCCCTTTCGCTGATTCCAGGCGTGTCTGGTGTCTTGGCGTCGCGTTGACGCCCCGATGCGAAAACAACATCGATTTTCTTTTTTTCTCTTACCCCGATAGCTGACCCGGGTAGCGAACACAAAGAAGCTAGGCCTCGGGCGCCTCCGGCGAGACGTTTCGGCTGCCTGTGTCCGATCGATGCGAGTGGCGTCGCCTCCTATACATTTTAGATTCGGTCAGCTTTCTCCTCGTTCTCTTTTCGGCACAACGTTTTTGATTCTCTTTTCAGCTTGACCATTGTATGACATAACTTAACCCCAGGGCGGCACCGAGAGATATCGAAACAGAAACACGATCACGCCACCGGATTTTAGCATTTGAAGATGGGATTCGAGGTTTGGTCGCTGAGTATATCGTCGCGGATATACGGTCGCCATCACTGATAACAGCTCCGGAACACAAGCGAAATCATCTTTGGGATTCTAATTATTTTACACTGTTTTGAGAGGTTGGAAACACTATGTTACGCATATAGCGATAATTCGGGAACGCCTAAGTGCCCACAGCTCTTTTATAGCTGGAGAAATGTAAGATGTCTCGATTCTGAAGCAAAACATTTAATTATGCGTGTGCTTGAGGGAGCGGGAAAGGAGAGGGGGGGGGGGGGGGTTATATCAATCTGAGAATGGTACGCGGGAGCAGACAGGTGTTCATCCAGTACTGGTACATTGTTCCTTCCTTCCTTTTGAAACTGGTAAAAAAAGAAAAAAAGAAATGAAGAAAATTAAACAAGAAAGCATCAGCGGACAGGTCTTGTCGATGCACCGACACAAACAAAGTGAACATGAACCAGCTAGCTGCATCTGTGGTGCAAAATTATTCTCAACATCAGCTTTACAAAAAAGAGGTGGCACTGACATGTCCGGTTACTTATTTCCCACTGATTTGCAGCACGTTACACGGCGTCGCTTGTTGTAACACGTGCAAGCTTCGTGACCCTTTGGAGAGTGGGTTCATTCACATCGTCCTGCACGTTCACGCACGTTTGGCAGCGTCAAGCGAGCGGGGACTCACCCAACGCCGAGGAAATGCCGACGCAGCATCGCAGCAGAACCAGGAGCACAAAGACGCCGGCGGCCTTCGTCGTCATCCGTGTTGACACCACCACACCCATGACTCCACGACTTTAGAGCTGCTGCGTTGCCGTGGTTTCATCCAGCGATGATGAGTTTCCGGATTTAGCGCACTTGCCGCTTTTCCCTTTTGAGTCCCTTTTTTACCTCCCTGGAGGAAAAAAGAGGATGCAGTCAATGTCTTGTTTTGGAAGCCGCCGCGCGTGCCTTGAGGGTAAGCGTGACTCACAGGAGCCGGAGGAGGGAGGGAGGGAGGGATGGATGCGGGAAGAACAGCCACAGCACGCCGGGTTCACCGGACTTCGATCGGCTTTGGCTCGGGCTTGCGGAAGGCGGGAAAGGAGGAAAATAAACCTAGCCAGCTGTGGGAAGGAGGAGTGGGCAAAGGGAAACCGAACCGCGAGAGAGCGAGGGGGGCAGTGAAATGGGGCTGAGAGAGGAGAACACTCTTCCCGAAAGGGGAGGCGAGGAGGTCGACAACGTGAGTTATGGAAGAGAGAGAGTGTTTGGAGGGGGTGCTGTACGGTGGTGACATCTCGTGCCGGCAGTGTGAGTTATGGTAGTGTGGGTGTGGTCGACGGTGCGAAGAGCAGGAAGAGAGATACGACCTGTGAATGGAGGCGTTAGTAATGCGGCGTTATTCTCCGTGGCTGTCCCTCATCTATACCCCGTTGTCTGGCCGAGGTTCGACAATTTATTTTCGGGGGGAAACGCCTTGATCGATTTGGTTGGTCAGAGTCAGTTCGCACCCGATAGCGATTTCACTTTCCGCCGTGGGCAGGTGATACGTTGACAATTATTTGGAATGTTTAGAGTGACACCGCGGTTTCTTCTCATTTTCTCATACAATAATTCCCATTTTAGATTTTACTGAAGTGCCAGAAATTATTAATACGCATGTTGTTAATTTGCTTCTACAATTAAGCGTCACATTTTTTTCTTCAATACAGTTGAGACCCAACATAAGCCTAGTAAATTTTTGCGTGGGACGCGACTTTTTTTTATAACATTTAATTACGCACTGAGATTTTTCTTTTTTTTTTTTTTTATCAAAGAACAAATTTTTGAGCAACTCATGTAGTTAACAGATCCCGAAGACTTACAACACCTGAAGCATGATGTATGGTTGTTGCCTGTTTTCTTTTAAAATTTTTTTTCTGTGTCGTTCCTGTTACCTGTCGCGCAGCGAAGTTGGAAGGACAAACAGTCCTTTTCATGTGATCCGAAAAGAAAGGACGCTCGTGTGTCTGCTCAACAAATCGGGTCCTAAAGATTCCACACTCTAGAGAGTCCTGCGTTTCTTACGGTGCAGTAACCGCGGCGCAGTGCTATGATAAAAAGAAAAAAATTATGCTGAATGTTTTACTCTTTCGCCTACATGTAGACGCCGATGGGATTTTTTTTTATAAATAAAACGTGTTTTGCTGATTGTTTATTCTCAGTATTACGAGTGTTAATTACTCTAGACGCCTTACGGCAAGGGCAAAATGTCATGTAACGTCCTAATATACTGGCTGTGATCCTAGAATTTGTGGTTTATTGACAGTAATTATAACTGAATCAGCAAAAATGTTTTTTTCACTCGCAGGTCAGATATAAAAAAAATCCAACATCTCCACCTTTTAATAATATTATCATTACGGTCATCACATAACATCTACATCGGTACAGTGACTCAAATGGCTGTCATTGTAGCCTTAGCTTTCGATCAAGCGATTTGTCACTTTAAATGTACGATCATAACAAAATGATTCCTCGATAAAGATAATTTGACAAAACGATTTTTACTAGAAGCTTGCCTATTTTTTTTTTAATTTTAATTCTCTAAAATAAGTTATTTTCGGGCTTTTCTTAAATTCGTGTTCGACTTTTAAGTTGCATGCCTCTTCAGAATGCAACATTTCTTTTAGCATTGACTCTGTAAGGACTCACAGTCATCCACACTTTATTGGTGTGGATGACATTCACTTCTTCACTGTAATTACCAAAATATTAAACGTGGTGCTGCTGCTGCTGCTGATGATGATTTCATTGAAATGGGTAAAGCCCAGGGTATGTATAAAAGCAAATAGGCGCAGGACTGGCTCTGATTTTTTAAAGACAGAACAATCGCAATAGAAAACTTGTAAATTTGTCTCAAGGGAGGAAACCAGGAGGCAGCGGTGCCATTGATTGTTCTCCAAGGAAGTGGGGCAAGGTATTGTTTTTTTTTATACCGTCAATTAAAGTTTAAAAAAATGTAAATTAAAAACATTAGTGAGCTAAAAGTGAGCATCTTCACCGTGTCTTGCCCAGGACAAAAAATAAATAAAAAAAATAAATAAAGAATATTTTAATTAACAGCATTAAAGCTTGGGATGAAAAAAAAAATATTTGGAGGCTTTACGTTCCAAACCAACGACGCCCCAGCGGAGGACTGAGGATGAATTTCGAGCTCCTGGGGATTTTTTGACGTGCAACTGAAAGCTCGGTTACACGGCGCCTTCTCCGCAATAAGCCTCCGTTAGCTTGCAGGCACCTCGGCCGGAATTCGAACCAGCCGCCCGGGAATCGAAGACACTGCCAAACGCAGTATTTGTAAACAACCGCGACAAATGCAAAAAAAAAAAAAAAAATCCTTATAGAAAAAAAAGACAAAATAAAAAAAGTTACTAGTGAGACAGCCAAGCTGACCGAAAGCCCATTCAGTTCTGAAGCGGCATCGGGAGCGTCGGCATTCCACGCTTGGGGTTGTGCCGTGCTTCCGCGAGATGGCGACACCGAAACTTTTTGCCGCGAATATGGAACACGCCAATAGTCGCCTTCTGCGTGCCGCCATCATTGTCCACTAGTCCGTGGGACGCGCTCCTGGCAAGCGCAATAGCTCTCTTCTGAGAAATATCAGACGCCGTGCATGCTGCGCAATCCTGTAACTAGGCTTTATTTGTTTATTTATTTTTGCTTGAGCGGCAAGCGGTAAACAATTGTAAAAAAAAAAATTAAAACTAAGCTTACGGTTTGGTTTATGAACTTCGCTGATAATCGATGTTGCAGAGCATATATTTTTGTATTTTTCAACGTGCCACGAATCTTCTGACGATAGGGAGTCCTATGAAAGCATATGGAAAATGATATGGATTAGTTTCACGACGAATTTAATTTCGGTTTTCTCTACGCGTGTCCTTGAGGGATCCATAGATAAAGTTAAAGGGACAATGAAATTAATTTTTGGGCTGGAATACAGAATTTTGGGTTGAGATTTTACTTATCGCATATCGTTGAATGAGCTAAAATACAACTAGTACAGAAGGGTAGAAAGCCTGCTGACTTTTTCTTTCCATTTTTTTCTTTGAAAGTTTTCCGCCTTTTCATTGTGATGCATCCGTGTTGCCTGTGCTCCTCAGTCGAACCCAGCTCACGCATTAGACATGAACACTGCGTCACTCGGACGTATCCCGCCGTCAACAAGCAATCCGTCGAATAATATTTGGATTCGCGTTCATGTCCCTTAATGAGTGCCGTGAAAGCATTTATAATCACTTTCGAGTGACATGTTTCACGGTGTACTTAAAAAGTACGGTAGAAGCTTGGAGTCATTGCATCCGGCGAAATCCTATGTCACAACCACGTGAGTTTCTAATTTCGCTTTTGAGCTGAGGAGGAAAGCTAAGCGGGAGAAAGTTAAAAAAATTATTTTTTGGTCTCTTTAACTGGAAAGCGTGTTGTTAACTGTGGCTCGTTGTACTGGCTATCCGCCCCAATTCGCCGTTACAAACACCGTGTATTGTACATCGTGTCAGGTTAAGGTGAACCGCAACGCATCATAAGAGCCGCATTGCATCATCCGCTGCGGGACCTTCCAATTGAACGCCGCGAGGCGCGCAGCACGAGGTCACGTGGAATTTCTTTCAACGCTAGAGTATATGGGATGGATATTAACTTCCAACGCAATCCATCTCAATATATATATATATATATATATATATATATATATATATATATATATATATACATATATATATTTTAGGGAGTTAAGGGATTGAATAGGACACGTATAACTCAAAATAAAATCCCCCTCCTCTTTAAAAAAAAAGAAAAAAAGAAAAAAAGTGGGCGCAATATTTGCGTTCCGTGACCGAGACACATTTTGATTTGGAACAGATCTTGAAACAGGCTATTACTGGATGCATCGAAGCATAACGCAATAACCGAATTGTATTGTTTCTCGAAAGCGCTCGCTTCGCCGCAGCACTTTCGAGAAATGTAAAGAAAGCATGCGCACGGGGGATGAAACTATGCGGATTTTGTTGCGTGCGGCGTTTCGCACAAACGTTTTCTTTTTAGTCTTGGGTATCGTACCCGCGTTCTATTTGTCGATGGAAATATACTATCAATATGAGAAAATGGAATGAGAAGTTAGAAAATTTAATCCAGATCAACTTCAATAAAAAAAAATAATCTTCGTTTGCTTTTGCCTTCGTGAGTGATCAAAGTCTCCTAGTGCTGACGGTGATCCATTCAAAATTGCCAGATGAATAGCGAATTTGTGATAATTGTATTAATTGCACAAACTTGAATAGGACAATAAGAGCTCATAACGAGCACTGGTTCTGGCGAAAGAATGGTCGTCCACCCCAAATGTGCGCTTTATTCTTTCAGCGTCAATAATCGTCAAGACAACAGGCTCCCCAGTGTCCTTTGACGGGTCTAAAATAGCATTAAATCGACCCGTGTGCTAATACGGTGATCGGCACTTGCCTATGAAAGTTTCAGCTACATAAGTTGAAAGCTTCAAATCAAGCGGACCTTGTAATATGTTAGTTAAAATTAATTAAAGCATTTTGTTGTTCACAATATTTGTCAGTATTGGGTGGGGACATAAATTGTAAAATGTAATTCGTGTAAAATTCGAGTTCGGCCACCGCCGTCATCAATTCCTACGTTACATTTCCTCTTAAAAAGACGTTTAGTCTTCCCGTTTCTGTATTACCCGTTTCACGCATTCAAAGTAATAAGAGTAGAATGCATATCCCCTGTCGTCCATCATTAAAACCAGAAGATGGCCTATTTTGTTACTCGTTTTTTTTTTTAAATTTTAACTGATATAGGAACATTTTACCTGTATTCCGACAATATTTTTTTTCTCATTTCCCCACGCGT